AAGGGTCACGGTTCAAAGCCAGCCTGGGCAAATAGTTCATGAGATCCTATCTCAAAAAAACCCTTCACAAAAAAGGGCTGGTGGTGTGGCTCAAGGTGTAGACCCTGAGTTCAAACCCCAGTACCACAAATTTAAAAAGCATTCATTGTTTCTATGCCGCCTTGCAGACTTCAGGCTCCAGGGCCCTTGGCTCTGTACTGGAAGTCAAGGCTCTTTGCCGGACTTCTCACTGCTGAGCAGCACCCTAGCAGTGGACACTTGTCCAGAGGCTTCCCAGCCTTTGCACATGTGTTCAGGGCTGTGACTGCAGGCTGACCGCCTCCTGCTACCTGTACCTGTGCTGGGAAACAAAATGCTCCATGGGATGGCTGTGACTTAATTTACCAAGTCAGCTCACTGTTGATGGGCACTTAGCTTATGAGCTATTCCTTGAATATGAATTTGCTAGGTGATTGCAAGAAAGACATGCTCTTCTATTCTTTAAAGTTCAAGCAACCTCATCTCAACCAATGGCTGAGTGTGGTAGTATGCATCTGTCATCCCACCTAAGCAGGGAAGCACAAATAGGGAATCATGGCCCAGGCTGGCCCTCTGGCATACAGTGAGACCCTATTTCAAAAATACCCAACACAAAAAGGGCTGGGGCACAGCTCAAGTGGTAGAGCGCCTGCCTAGCAAGCAGGAGGCCCTGAGTTCAATCCCTAGAACTGCCAAAAAAAAAAAAAAGGGTGTATAATTGAGTGTTTTTTTAATACAGTCACGGGTTGTATAACTGTCCGCCATCTAATTCCAGAACATGTTTGTCACCCCGTGGAGAAGCTCTTCTCCTCTCTCTCTTCACCAGTCCACCTTCTGCCTCTACCACCGCCTGTTCTAGACCTTCCATACCAATGGTGTCCTATGGTGCATGACCTTTTGTGATGGCCCCTTTACTAATGTGTTCAAGTTCCACCTACACGGTGGTGTGTGTCAGTACCGCGTTCCTTTCTGCAGCTAAAGTCACTCCGTGTACAATACCATGGTGCGACTGCACATTTCACGTTCCTGGCAGGAGTACGTGGGGCTCCCATTTCCCCACACCTTGGCCGTCTTCACCAATGATCATTTTTTCTTTGAAAAATTATCCTAGCCATCTTGAAGGGTATAAAATGGCATTTTAATTGTCTTTGTTTGCATTTCCTAAGTGTCAGTGATGTTGCACGTCGTCATGTGTTCATTGGTCATTTGTATACCTTCTTTGGAAAAATGTCATTTCAAATCCATTTCCTACTATTTGGTCTTTTCATTGTTCAGTTGTAAGAGTTCTTTCTATATTACAGATACCTTGCCCTTATCAGATACATGAGTAGCAAAAATTATTTTGTGGGTTTTCTTTGTACTTTCTTGATGGTTTCCTACAAAGCACAAAAGTTTTACATTTTGGTGAAGTGTGATGTGTCTATTTTTTCTTTTTTTGCTCCTGCTTTTGATGTCATGGCTAAGAAACTATTGCCTAATCCAAGGCCAAAAAGATTTACACCATATTTTCTTTTAAGACTTTTTAAGAATTAGCTTGGTGTGGTGGATCACACCTGTAATCCCATCACTTGGGAGGCTGAGGCCAAGCTGGGCTACATAGCCCGACCCTGTCTTAAAAAACAAACAAAACAAAATGGAATTTTAGAGTTTTAACTCTGTGTGCAGGTATTTGTCCCATTTTAAATATTTGGTAGAAGGTCAGAGTCCAACTTCCTTCTCTTGCATGTGGGTGTCCAGTTTCCCCAACTGTGTTTATTGGAAATTCAGACTGCTCCTTCCTCACTGAGGGTCTTGGCACCCTGTCGGAAGATCCCTTGCCCATAAGAGTATGGGTTTGGTTTGGGCGTGCGGTTTTGTGTCTGTCCTACACCAGCATCACAGTCTTGATTATTGAGGTTTCATATCAAATTTCAAATTGCAAGTTTCTATTTCAAGGTTGTTTGGGTTATTCTGGTTTCCTTGCCTTTCTATATGAACTTTAGGATCAGCTTGTCAATTTCTGACACAATAAAGGCAGCTGACATTTCGATAGGAGTTTCATTGGCTCTGTGGATCAGCTCAGGAACCTGGCCACCTTAGCTGTGTGAGTCCTCTGATCTGTGAACACAAGCACCTTCCCATGTGCTTATGTTTTCTTTAATTTCTTTCGGCATGTTTTCTGGTTTTCTGGTACACATTTGGCATCTCTTTTGATAAACTTACTCCAAGTGTTTTAATCTTTTTGATGCTGTGGCAAATTATTTTCTTAATTTCATTTCAGTTTATTGCTACCATATCTAAATACAAGTGACTTTTTAAAAATATGTTTTATAAGTATATAACATAAATGCCATAAATGTCACCCTTTTAGGTGTACGTGTCAGTGGTTTTTAGTGTGTGGATACCTGAGTGTGCCAACCTGTCCCTTTCTGCCACAGCCTTACCTCCTTAGCTCCTCTTCCTTGCTCTCCTCTGCACTGACTGTTTAAAAAAATGTATATAACAAAAGTTTTTTATTTTCACCATTTTTAAGTGTACAGTTCGGCAACACTGCAAAGTCACCTATGTAATAATACGTTCAGTGTTGTGCGGGCATCTGGAACATTCTCATCTTCCCAAGCTGAAGCTCTGCACCATTCCCCCTCCCTACCCCTGGGTCACCACCCTTTTATTTTCTGTCTTCCTGAATCTGCCTGCTCTAGGGATCTCACAGAAGTAGAGTCCTATAGGACTCGTTCTTTGGTGTGTGGTTTATTTTAGCATCTTTCAAGGCTGTCTGCACTGCAGCATGTATCCAGATCTCACTCCTGGTGGACACTGAGTACTGTTCCATTATATGAATACACCACGTTTGTCTATCCATTCATCCCTGGTGGGCACTGCATCGTCCCTGCCTCTGGGCCATGTGGATCGTGCCACAGGGGCTTCTGTGTACATGCATTTGCTTGAGCCCCTGTTTTCAGTTCTTTTGAGTGAGGCTGTCAGCTGGGGCTGGGGGCGTCAAATAGAAGGTGACATCATGGACAATGAAGTCCCATGCCCTTCCTTCCTTAGCTCCCAGGACAGAGTCAGTGAGGCCTGCACCCCCAGTCTGAAGGCCACCCAGGTGGGAGAGCTGCAGATGGTCCTCAGGATCCCAGCAAGCATTGAGTTCCGTGGCCTGGCCTCTCCCCCCAGCCTTCCATCCTCCTCTGTGTTCCAGTGAACATTCATTGCTTTAGGGCGCAACAACAAAACAGACCCTCGTGCACCTCACTCCATTCAAGAAAGGAACCCGTGGTTCTCCAGGGTCTCTTCAGCCGCAACCCCTGCCTGCTGCAGCTGGCCATGGTCCTGGGTGTCTTTGTGCTTCCGTGTGGTTCTGCATCACGAGGGAGCCTGCATCCCTAAATACAGCCTGTGCCTTTCTCAGCCACGGGCTGTGGCTGGCTTGCCTCTGCCTCCGTAACCCCTGGCAGTGGCTGGTCAGCCCACAGTCTGTTCTCTATCCCATTGCTTGCCTGCTTGGGCTCCTTTCTAGTTTCTTCTGGAACATCTAGTTCTGCCTCAAAGATTTCGCCAGAACTGCAGATGTTCTAGGCAGGAATTTCAGGTGTATGCAGGTGATTGTCCACTGGGCTGTGGAATTTGGGGGCAGGTCTAGTTTTACTCTGATGATACCAGATTGGTTTTCCAAAGTGGTCGCACCAGTTTACACTCCAGCCAGCCAAGTGAAGTCTCCACCTGTGGCCTTCCTCTAAAACATACCACACGGCCAAACACCCCTGAGGCTGGAGGCCAGCCACTAGACTGGGAAACAGACCAAACAAACAAACCAATCCCTCAGGAAGAGAAAGCAGAGAGCACAGGCCACCCAGGGCAACTTTAAAAAAAATTATAATGACCATTTCTAGATAAACAAAAGAGTCTGCATCCATGAAACGACAGTAAGTATAGGGCACTGAAGACCTGGAAGCATAAATTTAAATGTCAAGGATAAAATTGTAAGAAAGATCTGAGGAAAAAACCAAGAAAGTGGGACAAAAAACCAGAGAGATAGAGAGACACACAGAGAAATAGAAGGGCAGAAAGATAGAAACATAAATTATTTTCAGGTTGGAGTTGGGTCAGACGGAGGCCTGACTGGACAGAGTCTCAATGAACCCCTGAAAAGGAAATCTAATATAGCTAGACTGCTGCTGTGAAGACAGAAGACGGGTGATAGTGTATGAGTGTCCAGTTTGCTGCTGTAACAAAATACCACCAGCTGGGTGACCTAAATCAACAGAAACTTATCCTCTCATAGTCTGGAGACCGGCAGTCTAAAGCCTGGTGGGACCACTCTCCCTCCAGGGTGCCAGGGAGGGTCCTTTCTGCTTTCTCCAGCTCCTGGGGGGCTCCAGGGGTCACTTGGCTTGTGGCCACACCACTTCAGTCTCTGACTCTGTGGTCACATGGCTCCCTCTTCTTTGTGTGCCTCAGCCTCCACTACATGTCTTATAAGGACACTTGTAATTGGACTGAGGAGCCCCTGAAAAGTCCTGGATACTCTCATCCTCAGATCCTTCATTTGACTGCATCTGTAGAGACCTTCCTTCACAGGTTCCAGGGGCAAGGGTGTGGGCACATTTTTTGGGGGGAGGGGGCTGCATCCAGTCCCCAACACAGATGGGTCTTCCACGGGAAAAAGTCAGTGATGATATTAAGTGAGGATACCAAGTAGTGTGGCCTGAGCTTGCAAGTCAACACTGTGTCAACACCAGGAGACCCAGCAGAAGGGCCTGGAAGGGTTTGCTGCAGCAATCAAAGGCCCAGAGTGCTGGATTAGAGCCCTGTCGAGCCACCTGGCTTTTTAAGTGGGGCACTCAGCTTACATTGATGACAGGAAATGGCACATCTGCTCAGCTCCATGACTCCTTGGAGTGGGAGCTATGAGGACAGATTTTTGTCTTGACCTGCCGACCTTCAAGCTCCAGCAGCCCAAGCCCCTGCTGTGCCCCCACCCTGCACCTCCTTCTCTGCAGCAGCTCCAGAGTTGGTTCCTGCTCCTCAGACCAGATGGGGCTGGAGGTGGCCCCTACAGCCACACCTGCCACCCCCACAGCCACCAGAGAGAAGATCCGGTCCAGGTTCCATGGCAGCCACGACCTGATCCACCGCCTGTTTGTCTGCATTTCAGGTGCGAGGTGTGGGCCTGGGCAAGGGCTTGCAAAGGTTTAAGGCTCACTTAGGGGAGCGGAGATGGCGCGACGTCCCCGTCCCCTCGCTGTGCACGGTACTGTAGGCGGTGCAGACGGTAGTGCGCTCTGCTCCTCTGCAGAGTGAGCCGTCCCTAGGTTCCTTCTCAGGGGAAAGGATCTGCCAGCCAGGGAGGAAAAGGGAGGTGCTATGCTGGAGAGGGTGGGGAGCACCCTCCTCCAGAGTGTGACTGGGGGTGATGAGCTCCTGTGTGTAGAGAAGCCAGGCTCTTTGCACCATCACCAGGCAGGATCCACCCTGGGCTCCCTAGCCATATGGAGCCCATATGGTCACATGGTCCTGCAATAGTTACTTGGGGCTGTGTGATGTGGGGTACTGGGGGCTGTGCCCCTGAGGCGTGGGAAAGCTTTGCGAGTGGACATGTTTGGATACCCAAGTTGCTGTGGTGGTGACAAGTGGGGTAGGTACAGTGGTAGACTCTGAGTGTCCCTTGGCAGATGGCTTAGTGGCAGTGGCTGTGACCCATGGTTGGGAAGGATGTCAATGAAGAGTGGCCCTCAGTGTGGTCATGCAGGAAGTTCTTGTCACTTCTGTCCTCTCCTGACTCCTGAGTTTGTACTTACATTCCAGGAGTCCTCTCCCAAGGGGTGGGACATGCAGGCCCATGAGCTCTGGGTGGGTCTTACCCAGAATGTGGCACTGGCCTCCTGATGTGGTCAGCCTAATGCATCCTTCCTTCTGTCCTTCTGTCCCTCTTACCTCAATCCTCTCCCTCAGGTGTGGCTGACCAGCTGCAGACAAACTACGCCAGCGACCTGAGAAGTATTCTCAAAACACTGTTTGAGGTCATGGCCACCAAACCCGAGACAGATGACAAGGAGAAGTTAAAGAAGGGTGAGTGCCCACTCAGGACAGGCTCTGAGACCTGTGCCAACTGCCACCCCCAGGAAGGGGGCACCACTTAGCCAGGGACAAATATAGTGGCTATAAGGCACACCTGCATGACCAGGTGTGCCAGGTCTGCTGGGAGAACCAGAGTTGCATATCCCCTTGCCACTTTGCAAGTAGGTCACCTGGTTCCAGTCCCCTGTACCCATTGCAGCAGGGTGGGCCAACTTTTTACTGCAGGCAGTGGCTGGAGAACCTGCCACTTAACGACTAGACTAGATGACCAGACGAGGCACGCTGTCACTTCTAGTCACCTGTCAAAGCATTCAGAGGCCAGCCGGAAGAAGAGGAGGGGATGTGGGGCCACCCCCCGTGGGGGAGTGCAGCACCTGCTCCCGGCTGTGGTCTGCCCCGTGTCTGTGCATGCTTAGCACATGGAAGGTATGCACACGTGGTCGCATATTCACACACAGGCGCACACACATGCACACTTCTGTGCACAGGCATGCCTTGTGTGCACAACAGGGGTTTGGCAAGGAAGAAGAGATTAGGCAGGGACTGATTGGGCACAAGAAGTTTGGCTCTCTGTTCCTATAGGGTCCTGGATGGGAAAGTGCGCTAGACTCTTGCTCACTGACCCCCAGGCTGGGCTAGGCACCTACTCTGGGAGAGCTGCCCCTCAAAACAGGGGCTTCTGCTTATGGGGTGTCTGGGTTCACAGGATAGCCCCGAAGGCCCTCACTTGTGAGGAGCAGCCTAGGTGCTGACCAGTTCTGCCACCAGGCCACATTTTACAGGGAACTGAGGCAGGATTGCTGCTTGAAGATCACGATTCAGAAAAGCTGGCTCTGAGAACTGGCTCTGTGAGCTGCTTGTGCCACAATCATGATGGGGCCTCAGACACAGGACTGTGAAGTCCTTGCCTGCCCAGGGGCTCCTTAGGCCAGGGGATCTGACCACATGCAGTATAGGGGTCCAGAGCTGAATGTCCTTGGGGAGGAGCTGTCGCCTGTCTCAGGACCCACCGCACTATGTGAAGAAGGGCCTCAGACAGGAAGCCCCCTGCTGTGGTCAGCGCCTGCCTGCTAAGGTGATGACTGGCTCCACGTGCCTGGAGACAGTCAGTGTTTGAGGTGGCGGGCAAGCTGAGAGCCTGGCAATTTGTCCCCGTGGCCTCACCCTCTCTTCTAGTCACCAAGACCCTGCGAAGTGCGGCCTTGGAGGGCTGTGCCTTGTGCCAAGAGACGCTGTCATCCTCTGAACTCGCAGCCAAGACCCGCGACGGGGACTTTGAAGGTGAGTGGGAAGCTTGGGGCCAGTGGCCGGTGTGCTACACGCTGCATAGCAGGACCCTGCTGTGGACACTCTCGGCTCCCTCCAAATGCAGGCACCACAGGCCATCTCGGGGTGCAGTTTTCTGTGGGAGCCCCCTTCCCTCTCCTCAGCTTTGCATACTGTTCTCAGCTCCCAGGTGGGCACACTGACCCTTATTGCTGTGTGACCTCAGGCCAAGCCTTTGATGTCTCTCAGCATGGAGGGCACAAGCTAAGAGTGTCAGGAGCAAGGCAGTGTCCTGTCAAGGACTTCACTTGAACTAAAGAACAAGTCTTGCGTGGCAGCCTCTGGACACTAGTGGGATATGGGATCCTGGGGACCTTCCTCAAATGACTGTGGGGCCCCAGGACCCTAACTCATGGTGACGAGGGGGCTGTAGACTGTCTGAGGTAGTCATGTGGGATCTACAGGGGCTCATTCCCCGTTAGCCTGGAGTTGGCTGCCAGGGAAGGGGCCCAGAGCTGTTTGGGGATATGGCAACTTTTGTGGCAGAGTATTAAACAGGCCCCTTGGTCCTGGAGGCCTGGACTGGTGCCAAGATGGATGACAGCAGATAGACTGACCGAGTGACCAGAGCCCCAGGGAGAACTTGGGCCCTGTCATCCAGGTGGATGCCACCTGCTGCATGTCCTGAGTGTAGGTAGCCTGGCCTGGGGCCTGCAGCTGGGGTGTGATTGCCAAGTGCTGCTGCTGATGGTGTGAAGAGCACCCCCTACCCCACATGGTTCTTTTCCTAAAATTATAACTAGTCACCGAAGCCCAGGTCAGGACCAGAGAGGGGTCAGCGGCACCTGCCCACCTGCCAGGCCTCTACCCCCACCCCTAACCTCAGCCGACCTGCCCCACCATGGCTGATATGTCCCCGGCTCTTGTTGTGACAGACCCCCCTGAGTGGGTGCCGGACGAGGCCTGCGGCTTCTGCACCGCGTGCAAAGCGCCCTTCACCGTCATCCGCAGGAAGCACCACTGCCGTAGCTGCGGGAAGGTGGGTGGGGCCCTGGCCCCTCGGCTCCTGGTCTCCAGACACAGCATCAGGGTCTGGAAGTCAGGACTGAGGACCTAGGAAGCCAGCAGGGCCTTTGGGGTCCTTGTGCAGACACCCCTCTGAGTCTCGGCCCTGTTATGACTCCAATTCCACACCTGGATGGTGCCCATGTCCAGTCCTAGTTACTTAGAGCCAAGGACAGGGAGGAAACAGAGGGTCTGAGCAGGACCCTACAGTGACCTTGGTGCAGGGCCTAGACATCCCTCAGGAAGCCCAGTCTTGTGAGCCATGCCCTACCCAGGGTTTATGAAGGTCCCAGCTCCACAGCCCACAGCATCAAGACTAAGTAGACCCTCACCCCTCATTGCTCTGCCTGGTCTGGATGGGAGGTCACTGGTGGGGAACTGAGCAGGATCCACCTGCTCACTGCCCATTACCCCTTTTCACCTTCCAGATCTTCTGCTCCCGGTGTTCATCACACTCAGCACCACTGCCCCGCTATGGGCAGGTGAAGCCTGTTCGCGTGTGCACACACTGCTACATGTTCCACGTCACGCCCTTCTACAGTGACAAGGCAGGCATGTGACATGCACCCAGATACTTCCCAACCTGCCTGGGTCCAGGGACTCCCAGGAAGGAGGCGCCGCATCTGGCCCTGCATCCTGTCCATGCTGCACTGCAGGAGGGTCTCACTGCATCTCATCAAGCCATTGCTGTTCCTGCAGACCTGCCCAGGTTAAAAGAATGTTCACAGCCTCGGTCCCACCCTGGCCTCCCCACCTCCAGGTCACCGGGCCTGGCATAGGGGCCAACAGGAGGGTTGCCTTCAGGGCTGAGTGCCTGGCTGGGCAGGGCTGGGTTCTCCTGCCCATCCATCGGACATCTGCTCTGGGTGTGTGTGTGGCCTTGTCTGGCTGAGAATCTGGAAGCAGGAACAAGGGGCTCCGTAGGCCTCAGTATCACAGCAAGGCTTCCAGTGCTTCCTGTCCACCTCACTCCCTGTGTCCACTGCCCACCACCTACCTGCCTTAGGACCCTGCTAAGCAACACGCATCTCATTTCTTCTTAGAGGAGGAATATGGGGAGCAGACCCGGTGATCCCCTGGGACAGCAGACATGGCCCTGGGTTCTGTACTACTGTCCATCTGCAAACAGCAGGGGCCAGGCAGGCTCTGATGCTCACAGGTGGAGGTTTTTCAGGTTCTTGGACCTCGGCTCATAGGCAGCCCAGGACCACCAGAACCACCTGCTTGGCTACTACTGCACTCTTCCCCCTGCAGCCCCTGGGATCCTGGCCCACCTCCTCAGACTCTAGAGCGGCTGGGACCAGGCTGAGACAGCCAAGGGGCCCCAGTCCAGACACCTCCTCAGGCTTCAATCTCAGGCTTCACGTTGCAATGATGATTGCAGTTTTATTTTTAGAGGCGACACACCTACTGCTTCTTTTATAGAATGTAATTCAATTGCTGTTTAACAGTGGTGTACACATGCACAAAAATGGCTTCTGTGGGGGGAAGAGTATATAATGGAGGGATCTTGTGTACTGAGATTATTTTTATTTTCTAAATGCTGTAATTCAAAACCATTTCCATAAATCTATTTAAGGATTGCAGAGGCTCTCATGTCTTCTGTCTGTACCAACTCCTGTTTCTCCATCTGGCCATGATGGTAGTGGTGCTGGTGTGGACTGCGCTTTAGGAGGCTAGGGATTCTGCACTCTGGAAGCAAGTGAAGGACTGCCTTGGCTTCCCATACCTCTGCAGGTGTCAAGGGTACCCACTGCCCATCCTGCTTCTGAGACCCCCGACCTGTGCTTGGAGGACAGGACTGGTGCTCTTGTCTGCTCCACCTTCGTGGCTTACCCGGCCCAGCAGCCCCAGCCCAGGGTTGTGTTGCCATGGCAACAAGTCCCTTTTCTGCTCTTGGTACCTAGTCCTTGGGACTTGGGGCCCAGTTCCTTGGGGGACCAGAGGATGGGCGCAGGACTGTGAGAGGCCAGAGTGCCACCGTACCTGCTTTCTGATAAGCGAGAAAGTGTTTCAGAGCATGGGGCTCTGTTGAGCAGACAGAGTCCTCGGTAGCAGAAGAAAAACAGTGTCCAGGGGGACCTTGGTGTCTCTAGCTACCTAAGGCTGGGGCCCATCTTCCTGCCCACCTGGACAAAATACAAAGAGATGGCCCCTCCCTCCCTCACTTCCACCTCTGGGGACAGTTGTGTCACGCTGGAATCGACAGCTGTCGAAGAGGCCTGCCACCGATCAGGAGCCGGGCCCTGCATACACAGTGATCACTTTCCAGACCCAAGACACGGTCCTACTCGCCCACTAGGTCAGAGGCGGGAGAGGAGTAGAGGCTAGGGTGAAGGGTCTGCCTTGCTGAGCGGCCTGGCCCCAGGGAGGCGGGCAGGAAGGTCTGAGTGAGTTCTGGTCATGGTAGGCCTTCCATGCTTGCCTTGACTGCCTTTGCTCAGTGGAACGGAAGGGGCAGCTCCTCCCTCAGCCTCCCTGCAGGTAGGCTGGGCCCACAGATGCCCTTCGGTGAGGTGACAAATGGTCCCATTCACCCAGGAGTGGGACTTTCCATGCTAAACTCTGTACGTTAGGTCATTCTACCCTTCTGTGGGGCTTTCCCCACCCCAAGGGCAGAGCCAGGATTAAGATAGAGTATAGCTCAGGAAGGTTCTAGGAGGGACAGCCTACCATCTACCCACAGCTGAGGCTCTTTTTTGGGAGACCCGGAGTAGGGGCCACCCAGAACTCTAGATTTGGTTAGAATTGCCCTTTTGAGCCAGCCTGGACACTTCACCCAGGTCAGCCTTCCTGACCCTCAGCTACCCCACCATCACCATCATTGTCCTTCCTGTCCATCTTCTGAGTGCTGCCATATGCAGGCTTCATACCTGCCCATGACAATTCCATGACAATCTGTCAAAGGTGTGGGAGCCCCCTGTCTTGATGGGGGAAACTGAGGCTCGTGGAGGTAAGTAGCAGAGCTAGGTTGTGGGCTTCAAGGAGGAACCCACAAAGGTAGAGCAGAAGCATACAGTGAAGTGAGGAGCTGGGAAGCACCAGCCCCAGCTGGTTGTACTGGACACCACTTCTGGGAAAGGCTTGTCTGGAGGCAGGAGCTCCACCAGCCCGAGCACCACCTCACCCCACTGGCAGCTGGAAGGCGGTGCTCTCAGTGCTCTCTGGTTGCACACAGGTCTAAGAAGGGGCCCGAAGTATCTCCCATAACCCCCACCCCAGATTCCAGTGATAGGCAGGGGTCCGAGGCCAGAGGGGGTCTGCCCACTGGTGCTCAGAGAGACTGCAGCTCTCCACAGGGCAGGCCAGCAAGCTGAAGGAGGGTGGGCCTGGAGAGGAACCCTAGAGCTTACAGTATCCAGGGCAGCAGGTGATGCAGGGCAGTGGGGCTCAGAATGACTGTTGGTGTCCTTGTTGGTGACTGTGGTGTTGGAGGCCAAGTGAGGGGTGGGTTGGAGGCCCAGGCCTGTGCTCCAGCTCAGGCTCTGGCTGTAACAGCCACCAGAGGGCACCCCATCCCACTGCCTCCTCAGTGCTGCCTGGCCTCCAGGGTTCATGTGTCTGCAAGGGTTGGCCCATTGGGATGGCCAGACCCTAGTTTTAAGGGTTCCACAGAATGGAAGAGGGCCCAGAAAGGCCTACAGCTGGCACAGCAATGATGGAAGGCAGGGCAGGCTCCCGAGGCAGGAGGGGAGGGGCAGAAAAGACAGTCCTGGCTGGAGGTGGATACCTTGCCCCCTTAGGGTTGGGGTGGCAGCTGACAGCACCTGGAGTGGGGTGGCTTTGTGGGCCTGCTGCCCTCTAGACCATGCAGTGGGAGATCTGGAAAGGCCTCTTCATGCCACTCCCATGTCCCAGAGATCTAGAGGCACTTATTTGTTCCTAGACCCGCCTCTTCCAGGCAGCCTTCTCAATAGCAGCGCCTCCCCCAGCACACGTAAGAGCACAGCAGAGCAGCTTTATTGACGGAGGGGAGACCTTCTCTATTTCAGGCGGTCCCCCCACCTCCAGGCCTCTAGAATTGCCACGTGGGTTCAGAAGCAGCAGCAAGGCTGGGCTGGGTGCCCTCTGTGCTGCTTGCCAGGGTCCAGCCAGCTCATCTGTCAGAGGTTCTGGACGCCTCCACTTTGGAGACCACCCCAGCACCACCACACAGTGGGGCTTCCATCTGCATGCATAGGCTGTTTTTTTTTTTTTTCTTATAAAATCCTTTGAAAGGAAATTTTACATTTTTTGCTTTTAGACATATTTGGCTAAATTTATAACTTACAATGGCAGGACTCATCAGCATAGTGGTTAAACCTTATAAAATGAGAAGAAAAAAAAACCTACCCCAACAATTGTTCACAAATATAATGAACTGTTTTCTTAAATTTAAAAATAATGGTGATATAATGTAAGGTTCCACAGACATTTAATTACATCTTTGTGCACTTTGATTTTTTTCCTGTCTTCTTTTTGTATTCTGGAGATGTTTTCCTGCATGTCAGACTCTCTGGAAGGCCCCCAAATGCTCAGAGGCCTGACCTGGTGCTTGTGGCAGGCCAGCCTGGCAGCTAGAGCCACCCAAGTTCTGACCAGTTGTAACTGGGGTAGGCCTGCCTGCCCTGGGGCCCATTTCTCTGTGGGCAGGGGATTGTAGTACTTAGTGATTTGGGCACTGTTCTTACCACTTCCTGGCACTCCCTTTGTGCTGACTGCTGCTGCCCAGGGTCTCCATGCAACCTTTAATCTCATCCCCAGGCACCCCAAGAAGCAGGTACTGCCATGTCAGTTTTATAGCTAGGGAAACTGAGGCTCAGAGAGATCAAGTGACTTAACTGACTGATGACCAGAGTCTGGGGTGGCCGTGTCTTTCAGTGCAGGGAAGCCAAGGCTTCTGGGAGACTGGGCTCATCACAGCTCTCCAGGGCATACTCTGGCCCCAGCCATCCCACAGACCCCGAGCCAGCATCTGGGAGAGGCAGGAGGATTCTGACAAGTGGGCAGGCCAGCCCCCTGCCAAGGATGCTAGGGCTTGGGGACCTAGTAGCTACAGGAAATCCACCCACTCCAGTGGCTGAGGACACCAAAGGCAGCAGTAGAGTGGCGGCAGGGACAGACCACTGGAGGGGGAGGGCCTCACCAACATTCCGCTCTGGGTGTGTGGCCCCCATGCTGGGCCGAGGCCCTTGGATACCTGAGAAGCTGTGTACAATGATTCTAAATCTGAGGATAAGGGTTGCGATGTATGGGAGGCTGGTGGCCCTGGGTCCAGAGAAAGGAAGCCTAGGCCAGATAAGTTGCGGAAGGCCTGGAAGGTCTTCCAGAGGTTTCTATGGACCGTGGGGTTGGGAGCAAGCCACCTTTCTCAGGTGGGACCAAGGGTCCTGTCTACCCTCCAAATGTCCCAGAAGTGGGTGATTAGCCTCATTTATATGCAGGGAAACTGAGGTGGGTAGGCACCCAGGACGGTCAGGCAGGTTGAAGATTAGCCGGCTAGTCTTAGTCTTCCACCCCAAAACCAGAAAGCCCCCTCTGGATTCTGCCCTATTTTCCTGAGGCCCCTGGCTGGGGTGGGTTCGGCTGGGCTCCCCCGGAACTCTCTGGGGGAGAGTTCCAGACAGGGCTGGACACTTAGAAGGTGGTGGCAGTGAGAGGTATGCTGCTGGGTAGAGGCCTGCCCCCAGATGGGAGGGGGGACGTGTGTCCCCTGGGTAGGAAGCCCCAGATATCTGTCTCTTCCCTCCTACCATGGACTTTGCCAGTTGCTACCGGAAAGGTCTGGGCTCCTGAGAAGAGGAAGGGAAGGGCCAGGCAGGCCCTGGAAGGGGAGGTCAAGGAGGCACCTGACACTGCTGGAGACTTGCCCTGAGGAAGGGGGCCTCAGTGGGCTGGCCAGCCTGCCTCCTTGTCTTCCCCAAACACCCCGGGACTCCACAGTCACCTGTGCACATGGGTGCTGACCCACAGTGCCTCTGCCCCATCTCAGGAGCTGACTGTGGCTGTAGAGACCGGTCTGACCTGGGAGAAAGCAACACCCTCACCGTGCCCAGCACACCCTTCCATCCCACCAGTGCAGTGTCTTCCAGATCTCCCCTGGCCTAGCCATGTGGGCTCAAGGATCTGCCTGGCTGCCTAGCTGTTCAGTGCCCACTGAGGCCTCCCTGACTGCCCCTTACTCACCCAGTTGCCCTTTCCCACTTCTTCACTCTGCAGCACTCCCCCATGGGAAAGCTTGTTTCTGGATGTGGGTGAGGGGAAGGGTCCAAAATTGGCCTAGGTGGAAGCTAAAAGTCTTTCTGGCTGGGAGGCAGCAAGCAGGCAGCTCCCCAGTGTCACACTTGAGCACCTGCTGTGACACAGAGGAGCCTCATGCCAGGGGCAGCGGGAGGTGGGTGGGTCCCACTCTAGGATTGGGAGGCCGCCTTCTGGGCAGCCAAAGGCAGAATGGAGCAACCTTGCGAAAGGCTGACCCCCTAGCTGCTGAGCCCTGGGCCCTAGTGCACAGAAATGTGTCCCATGGCTCCCCAGGGATGGGCACCCTCCTTCACTCTGCACAGCTTGGTGCAGCCCTACAGATTAACCAGATTCTGCCCTGGCCTGGGGCAATTGGGGGAATGAGGCGGGAAGGGCCACGGTCAACAAGGGGTTCTTGTAACACCGTGCAGGGCTGTCTGTGGCAGTATTCAGTTCCCTGTTGGGTCCTGGAGGGCTCTGTGTTGTTCTTAACCCCACTCCACAGGTCAGAGGACGGTGGCTTACATGCCAGCAAGGCCAGCCCGGCAGGAGGTGGCTCAGGTCTCCATACTCCTAAGTCACAGCCTGCCACGGGTCACCAGTGTGGGGTCCCCAATCTCTGTTCTGCTGGGATTTCTGGGAGAGGATGGATGGGGGCTCTTTATCTGGAAAGTGAACATGCGTAAATACACACATTGCATTCACGTTGGTCCCAGCAGGTAAAGTGCTGCGGTATTAAGAGTTGTCTTGTTTTGACGGCAGCAGCAGACTCCGCCCATTGGGGGCGTGGGAGGAGGGGCAGCCACCCTAAGCCACAAAACCCTCGCCTGCTCCGGGGAGCTCCCGAGACCTCTACCTCAAAAACCAGTGAGGGGGAAGACGAAGGCGACATCCTGGGGGACTGAGGCCAGCCTTGGGCTGCTAGCTCCTGTATCTACTGGTCCGGCCTTAAGTTCCAGTCTTCAGGGCGGCTGCCAGGAAGGAGCCAGTTGAAAAGCTCGTGCTGTTCCCGGGAGGGTCAAGCTCCTCCCTAGAAAAAGCTTTCGTAGTCGGAGGGCAGCGCCTGCTTCTTGGAATGTCCCTACCCTCCCGACCAAACACAAGACTGTGCCTCCATTCTTGGGGATTTTTCCCGTCTGTGGCGGCAGATCTTGGCCCCTTTTCCCAGGCCCGGGACCCTCCTTCGGCCCTGGTGTCCACTACCCGCTCTGAGGCTCGGTTTCTCCACTGACACCCTCAGAAGAGGCCTGGCTTTTAGGCTCCAACCATCTTCGTCCCTCTCCCAAATCTCGGCTTCCCCTTAAGTTCCTACGTGTCCCGCAAAGATGAGTGTCATTCACAGACCTACCCGAGACACCCCACCCCCACCAGACCTCGAGGCCCGGTCCTCCACGGAGCCAATATTGCAGCTGGCCGTGGGCAACAGGTCGCTGCGCACGGCGTGCACGGGCCCGGCGGGACACGCATCCCTTGGCGGACCCGGCCCGGGGTCTCCCGAGACGCCGCCCGAGTCCTACCGGCCCCCGTGCGGGCCGGGCGGCAGTCCCACAGCCCTCCGCTTCCTCTCTGCAACAGGTCTGGCCGCGACGCCCTCATTGGCCGTGCGCCCGGCCGCCGGCCATTGGTCTGCAGTTTCAATTTACATAGACCGTTCTGGCCCAATCGGCGTGCAGTGCCTACTTAACATGCACGACGGCCGCCAGTCAGCGAGCGCGGGGGCCGGGCCACCACGTGCTGTTGCTAAGCTTGGGCTTCTAAATTGTTACTACCGCGGCCAGCCTATCCCAGCCTCGCCTCGCATCTGTCAACATTCTCGGTCCTGCCCAAGGCGTTCGGCCAGTCTCTATTGGCCGGGGCCCGGCGCAGAGCCCGCCCCTGGGGCCACAGCGCTGGCGCCTATTGGCTACCCAGACCGCCACTCGCCCTTATGTGTCAATTTGAGGGCCCGAGGCAGAGGGTGGCGGCCGAGCGCAGGAGTCCGCGAGTCGGGCAAGTGTGCCGCCGGGCGCGGGGCGGGCGGCGAGCGGAGCCGGCCGGAGCGTGCCGGGCAGCGGCCGCCGCCGTCCCGGGCGCGGGCGGCAGGATGGAGCTGAACTCCCTGCTGCTGCTGCTGGAGGCGGCCGAGTACCTGGAGCGTAGGGACCGAGGTAGCCCGCGCCCCTTTGTGCCCGGGTGGGCGGGCGGCGGGCGGGCGCGGGGGGCCGCTGACCGCGCCGTCTGTCCGCAGAGGCAGAGCACGGCTACGCCTCGGTGCTGCCCTTCGACGGCGACTTCGCCAGGAAGAAAACAAAGGCGGCCGGCCTGGTGCGCAAGGCCCCAAACAACAGGTACCGCCCCCCCGTGCGCCGCCCCGCCGGCCAGGCCGGCCCCGCCCGAATGTCCCTGGCCGCCCCTCGTCCGCGGCGCTGCTCCGCGCTCGCCGGCGGCCGGCCTGGAGGAGGCGCCGGCCCCGCCCGCCCCGCCCGTGCGTCGCCATCTTCCCGCGGCCGCGCCTCCCGCCGCCGTAAACAGTGCCACGCGTACAGCGCCCGCCGCGAGCCCGCGCCCTCCTCGAGCGGTTCTGGACTTCTCCGGGCAGGAGAGAAGTTGTCAGCGGGCGCTGGCCAGGCCCTGGGACACTGCTCTCCTTGCGCGGCCCAGCCGTCTCCCTCCCGACTCCAAGCTGGGCCTTGCTCCTTGGCCCAGCACCCCGTCCCCAGAATCCTGGACGGAGACCTCCTCACAGAGGTCCTGCGCAGCCTCCTGACTGTGAAAGTCCAGCCACAAGTGCAGGGGTCGCCTTCTGGAAGGCGGTGGGAGGAGGGAGTAGGCTGCGCGGGGTAGGTTTGTGGGGCAGCCCCTGCTGGGGACCAGCTGCACTCTCCATGCCCTTGGCCTTGTACTTTAACTGCAGAAGCCCCGAAGCTGGGGTGCATGCAGGTCCCTGGTGGGGAGTGGGTACCCTTGGGTTAGATAGAGCTCCCAGGGGCTTTGCTTTCCTGTCTGCTGTGGCACACCTGGCACTGGCCAGGGGCCTATCTTGGCCCCCCCACTCACAAGTTGCCAGGCTGGGAGCTGCACTGGCCAGGGGCTTCAGGGCCCCTTGGCAAAGGGTGAGGCTCATTCCTGTGGCCTGCCTGTTCTTGGGAAACAGAGAGGCTGGCACAGGGACCCATCTCTGTGGTGTCCTGGGCCTGGCAAGGAATTGTTTAGTCTTCAGCTGCCTGATCCCCAGCCCCTGGTCTCCTGCTGGTGGGAGTTTGTGGTAGGATATAAATATATTGGAGGCATCACTGCCTCAGGCTTCCGTGGTGAGCTGGCCGGGCCCCTGCTTCTGGCTGTCCCAAACTCCAAGATGGGATGTCAAGTTCCTAGAGCATGCAGTGCACACAGCTGACCAGAATCACGGCTAAGGCTCCCTAAACATCTTTACCCCAGCCCCTTGAAGGCAATGCTGTTTTTATCTCCATTTTACAGCCGAGAAAACCAAGGCATAGAAATACTCAGTTATTTGTCTGGGGCCACTCACCTACTTGTGACCCCCTGCCCCGTTCCTGGATGGAGTACTGGCTTTCCACTTTCTGCTTGGAGACCTAGCAGCACAGGGCAAGGGGTGCAGAGGGCCTCCCCAGCTGGGGCATATCTTCCCTGCAGCCCCTCTAGGTACAGCACAACTCACCCAGGGCCTGAGGTAGCCCAGGGGTGGCAGATAACCCTTTTCTTGTCAGTCACCACCCTCGAGGCTGTCTTTAACCAACCCAGATGAGGAGCTGGGGTCCCTGATGTGGCAGGGCAGCCCCCCCCCACACCTGTAAGACTTCTGTGTCCTGCCAAGGCCAGGGACAGGACTGAGCACAGGAGATCAGGGTGGCTGGGTAGGAGGGCAACACTGGGGTGAGGAGACAGACCCTTGGTTGTTCCAGCTCCCCGGAGGTCTCTCAGGGTAGTGGCTCAGCAGGATGGGGCTGGTGCTGGAGTCTATGGCAGTAAAAGGATGCCTGGCTCATGGGGTCTAGCTGGTGCCAGGCCAACATTTGGGACAGCCCTCCCCCCACCTCTCCCCAGGGACAGGTGCTTCTGGGACTATGTGACAATCCTTCCCTGCAGAGTCTCTGGACCCAGGAAGAACTCCAGGAGAAGCTGTTCCCCAGGCTGCTGAGGAGTGCCTCTCTGCCTCTAGGGTGGGGTTGAGTCCAGTGCTGTTATTAAAAGGGGCAGGTTGATGCGTGAGCTTTTCTAAGTGTTGCAGGGCACCTGCTGACCCTAGCCTCCCTTATGAGGCAGCACACCTACAGACAACATGACTGGGCTGAGGAACAGGCCCCTGAAAGCCAGTGAGAAGCCTTAGCAGTGCCCCTTCTGGCTGTGGCTGGCCCTGGCAGAGGTTCTGAGGCTCCTTGCCCAGCAAGTCCTCAAGGGCCCTGGTAGCTGCTGCACAGGGAGGCCCAGGAGCTGGCTGGCCTAGTGGAAAGAGCAGAGACCTAATGTGGCAGATGGTAGAGGTGGGCAGGGTGGGCAAGCACTCTGGCCTGAGGTGGGGACAGGAGATGCCAGATTCAAGTTCCTGGAGCAGCATAGAGTGGGGGAGGGGGCCCAGTTGGCCAGCAGAAGCCAGGAAAGGGAGGAAGGGCTTGTTCTGGATGAGCCTTATGGTGGCCTGAGTTTCCCTGCTCATGTGTTCAATAGCCTGGGGGTGCTGGGAACCCTGGATGTACTATGCCATCCCCCTGGACTGGAAGGGGTGACCTAGAAGCTCTAGAGAAAACTCCCTGAGTAGCACTCATGGTGCTTAGGACTCCATCCCTTTGTCTGGATGGGCTGAACAGGTGGGATTCAAGCAGCTGGCAGGTCCTTGTCCCTAGGAAGGCTAAACTTGAGCCCAGTGTGACCAGTCTGTCAGAACATGACCTCTGAGGGGAATGGCAGAACCATCTGCCTCATCCCCCCAGTGTCCACTGGCCCAGGAAGCAGCCATCTCGGAAACTCCCTTTTGGAATGGAGTGATTTGTCCTGGCTGGTTCTGATTTGTCCTAGGTGTCCCCAGCTGGGATCACATAGGTGTGTGAGCCTGACAGGGTGACCATGGGAGGGAGGGGTTGTCCTGTGTCCTGAGGGCCTGGCCTCTGAACGCCATGCTCAGACTGCCACTGGCCTCCTCTTCAGCAGAGCAGTGAGTGGACAGCCCCAGATAACCTCTGCTCCCTGGGACTCTCCACCCCTTCTGGAAGGGGCCTTGCACCCTTTTGCTAGCCAGAGCTCCCACTACGTGGGCTGGGTGGCACCTGCTCACACCTCCGTGCTCCCTCTGCATGCCACCTCCCACCCCAATCCTCACAGCCTCAGTGCAGGGTTCGCCAGCCCTCCTCATCTAGGAACATCCTGGGCCCACCCCCTTCCAGCCACGGTCATAGGGCTCCTGGCCCCCTAAGAAGAGCCGTGGTTGTTTGTGTTCTGGTGGTTTGGGCCTCAGAGTGAGCCCTGTCTTTCTGTCTCTCTAAACAGGTCTTCACACAACGAACTAGAAAAGCACAGGTAAGTGGTACCCCTCCCCCAGTTCATGTGAGCTTCCAGACAGGCCTGCCCCCCTTCTGCTGAGGGGTGCTGTGGCTCGCCTGACCTGTTGTGGGAGGATAGGTGCTGCCAGGCCATGCCCTCAGCTTGGAAGGGGTCAGTCTTAGAGGGGATTAGGGTCTGTTTTCAGGCACTTTCGGCTGACAGGCAGGCAGGCGGGCAGGGGCCTGGGTCCTGCTCTCGGGCACTTATCCTAGGGCCAGAATTTGGTGGGGACCAGGGACTTTGAGCAGAGCACATTTGCTGGTGGCAGCGTGGGCTAGCTCCCTGGAGTAATGGGTGTACTTTGGAGTATCTGAGCCCCTGTGGAAGTAGAGCTTAAACCCTCGGTATGATAGGACCAACCCTCTTGAGTCAGCTTTGGACCCTTGCTCCTGTGCCTTCTGGGGCCTGCCTTCCTACAGGCTGTGCCAGAGACTTGTCCTAGAGGCAATGGGAGGGCAGCGGGCCCAAGCCACGCCCCTGCACCCTGGCCCCAGTCAGTCAGTGGGCTAGCTAGAGGCATCCCTGTTGTGATGCCAACTGAGGCAGTTTCAACTTCTTTTTCCTGCTGTGCCAGTGGGGAGGGGAAGAGGTGCTGAGGAGCTTTTGGCTGCTGGTGGGAACTCAGGGTACAGAGGCATTTTGGGCCATGCAGCCCCCATGCCAGGATGAGGGAGAACTCCTGAGGGTTACTAGGTGATAGCTGTCTCTTGACCTCTGCTCCCATCTGTAAAATGGGCCAGTTCAGTCCTGCCTTCTTGAGTCCTCTCCTGCCTTATCCTAGTTGAGCCCTTCGGGAGTGTTGGGAAGGTTTGGAGCCCAGCCAGTTCTCCGCCTCCCCCTCCCCCATGTCTGAACCCACAGCAGCGCCAACTTCCGCTCCCCCGGGATTCAGGCCTCTGGTTGAGGCGGGTGGCTGGGCAGGGACAGAACACCGTGTTCCCTGAGGAGATGCACTTCCTGCACTGGTGGTGTGTGTTTGGGGGGTTCCTGAGAGGCCAGAGGGATGATGGCTGGTGTGATGCAGGCCTGAGGTTGCTCTTAGGTCAGAGGGGACCGGTCGGCCTTGACCAGGCACAGGCATAGTGGTAGTGTTCTGGGGAGGATAGCCCCTAGTGAGGACAGATGGATGCCATTGAGACACGACAGGTGGCAAGAGAATGGCAGCCTGTGGGGAGGACAAGGGCTAGCCTCTGACTCCTGGCCTTGTCTCTGCTCTGAGCCTGTACTTAGTCTGGGCCTCATATAGCTCTCTTAAGACAGAGTAGGGATGGTTGGGGAGGTCTATATGCCCCTGCCCCTCCCAACCCAGCACAGAAGTCTCTGTTTCTGGCTAGCCAAGCCACAGGTGTGGATAACCTGGAGCTTGGGGCCTGGTGGGGTCCTCCGTCATGGTCAGGCCTGTGGTTAGCCCAAGGCTGATGCTGGGTGCTGTCCTGAGGAAGGAAGGAAGCATCTGGCTGGCCCATCCAGCCGGCCTCAGGATGCAGGCCTTGGGTACTGCCTTCCCTTTAGGTGTCCCCTCACTGGAGTTGGGGCCTGTGGGGCTTCCTTTTGCAGGTGCTTTGAGCCAGGTCCAGCCAACCCTAGGCCTGATCCCCTAACTACCGCTATTCGATGAACAGCTCTGGCAGATCTGCCAAACCCATTGCTTACTGTTGACCCCAGGGCCTGGTGACTCTCATGGGCCCAGCTCCAGTCTTTGTTCTTGGCTGGTATGTGGGGAGGGAACCCTGGATGTTCTTCATGGCCCTCATTACCCACAGCACCCCCTGTGGAGTGGCAGGACATATCCCAAAGGTCAGGCCCAAGTCCTCAGTTTCCCCACCAGAGAGTTGGTTGTTCAGGTCCTGAGTAGACCCCTCTCCTCCAATGGGGAGGCTTGCCCTAGTATCCTAGGCTACCTCTTCAGGGCTGCTGTCAATGCCTGATACACAACATGGAACCACAGGGAACATGTGTTTGCGAACAGTAACCTGATCTTAATGGTAAACCAGGGAGAGTGGGGGTCCTCCTGCCTCCATCTCACCAGCTGACTGATGGATTTCCTCACTACCTCTTCTCCAGCAGCCTGGCTTGGAAGATGGCTCTGCCAACACTCCCTCACATGCTGGGGGACCCTGGCATGGAGCCAAGCTGTCCTGGAATTCTGGGTCTCCTCTGAGAAGTGGGTTTTTTTTGACCAAGGGCTAAGCTGCTGTCCTGGAATGCAGGAGTCCCCAGACTGAATCTGCAGAGTTCCTTCTGGATTGCAGGGTTTTAGAAGGTCCTTGGGATGCTTAGGGCACTGCGTTGGCTTTAGGGAGGATGGTTTGGTGAAAGCTCTGGGGCTGTGGAGCTCAAAGGGTGGGGATCTTCCCAGCATCCCACCACTAGCCATTGGTAGAACCAATTTCAGGCTCTGGCTCCAAGCAGCCCGTCACAGCTGCTGCCCAGGGCAGGGAGCCAGGGTGACCTGTGCAGCCTGCAGCCCTGGGTGTGCACTCTCCTGGGGATGGGTGGGCATGTTTTTGAGTTTGAAACATTGCACATGTATGGTCAGGTGGTCTCACTTTGTCTCTTGAGAAATGTCTTTCTAAAGTGTTCATGTAACCCCTGCATCCTATCCCAAGAGGACATCCTGGCCTCTTGGAGGCCCCTGGCATAAGAAGGGGTCTTTGTTATACACTATCTCCTACCTTGATCTTCCTCCTAGCATGTGTCCATGCACTCTCCAGGCCTCCCTGGCCCCAAGGCCTGTGAAGGACTCAAGGCTGGGCTCCCAGGGTTCTTAGTGACCCGCCCTGTGCAGTGGGCATTGCTGAGCACAAGCCTTTGCATGCCCAGAGAGGACACTTTTTAAGACCCAGATCTGGAAGTGGGAACACTGGTCTATAATATGACCTGATGTTGATGCCTTTTCCCCCAGAAATTCTGACAGGTCCCCATGTGCTGGCCAAGTGAGTGCCAGCCACCCCTTTGCATTTCAGCTGTTATATGGGGGAAATGAGTATCTGCTTGTTTTGAGTTTTCATTTCCTTGACTACTTGCAAGATGGAGTCAGTTTTCACGTTTGATTTGCCCTTCATGTTCTGCAACTTGCCTGTCTGTGTCCTATGCTCATGGTTACACTGAGGTCATCCTCTTTACTGTTGATCTGTACGAGCTCAAAATACCACAAACACTAACCGTTTGTCTTTTATATGTATTGCAAATACTTCACTACTGTTATTTGTCTTTTGGCTGTGTTTTTTTTCTTTCTTGTATAAATGTGTCTTTCTCTGATGTAATAGTAATTTGTGTGTGTGTGTGGGGGGGTTGTTTCAACATAGTAAACCTGGAAAATACAGAAGAGCAAAAAAGATAAAGAAATAAACACTTCCAGTGCATCCTGTGGAGATGCCTGCTTCCCGTGCTTCATTGTGTTCTGTTGAGTCTCTTGTGTGCGTCCGCTGTCTTATTTTTTAAACAAAATTGAGTCACTTGTCACTTATGTGGTCCTGTATCCTAATTTTTTCCCTTAACACTCATGATATGGAAATGTAGGTACAGTAAAATGATCGTGTGGCTATCTCTGGGCAAGGAAACTTTTGGGGATACTTTGGGTTTTTCTTTTGTCAATTTGTACTTTCTAATTCTTACACAAAAGTCAGATGCTGCTGATGTAATTAAACAGTTTTAGGACTTGCCATTTACTCTATGACAAGTGGAACAGGGGAGAAGGGTCCCTGACTGTATCCATTTGCCAACCTAGTCCTAGTGGTGGCTGCAGGACAGTCTCCCCCATCTCAGAGGGGAAACCCTCCATTCCAACTCTGTGCCTCCAGCTGGGTGCTTAACCCTGTTAGAGAGGAGGAGGCTAAGGCCTGGGCATTCAGGAAAGAGCGTGTATTCATGGGGCAGTGGCCTGGGTCCCAGGCTATGTGTGCTGGAGTTGAAACTCCCCCAGCCTTGTGGCAGTCTGAGGCTTGCTCAGCCCTTGTTCATGCCCCTATCTCTTGGCCAACTCAGCCTCAGTCCTGTGTCTTGAAAGTTTTTCTCAAAGTCTAACTCAGATTCACCCAGAACTTCTAGGCCTCAGGGTGCTGGCCTGGGGCATCAGGCGAGCAGGTGCTTTTGTCAGTGGAGGGTATTGTTGACAGGTGTAGTAGCCTTGGATCTCAATCCCCCTCCTGCAGAGTGGGACTGCTGTACCTCTCCACAGCCCCTCTCTGTACCCAGCAGCTCCTCCTCCTGCAGTCAAAGAGATGGCTGTTCCTGCCTGCTGTCCTTCAAGGTCTTTATAGGACTGAATGAGATCATGGGCTCTGTGACTAGGGAGCAGATGTGAAAAGATGGGGACACCCAGCATAGTGCTGCTCAGGAAGAAGGTTGTGAATGGGTGTTGGACGCCCGCAGGGCCTTGGTAGATCTGTTCTGCGAACCACTGGATAAAATAGGCCGGTCAGGTGGACGTGTGCAAACGTGGCAGAAGTCCCAGACTGTCACAGTGGTATTAGAGAGAGGGCCCCTCCCAGACCATCAGACCAACCAGGAAAAGCAGTGTTACTGCAAAGAAACTATAGCTTTTGAACAAATCCCCTGAGTAGGTGGCTCCAGTTTTGTGAAAAAAATGGATTCATCCATACGGATACAGGGACACAATCTGAAATGAAGCAATTTCCAAGGGGATAGCAAACTCAGGATGCAGGGGAGCTAGTCCTCAGTGCTCCCTTGACCCAGTTGGCTCATGTTTCCATGAGGACAAGAGTGACTAGGAATCATACTGGCTAGGTGAGGGACATAAATGTTGTGTCCCTCACGCTAAGTGGAGCGCTTAGGGAGGCCGTGTAGGACTATGTGAATACCCATACCCAGAATGCCCCTGACAGGAGGTGCCAGCCAGTCAAGAAGGGGATTCCTGGAGGGGGACTCGTGCAGTGGGGTGGGGGTCTGTGTAGGGGCCTGGCTAGCCATTTCCCACCCCCCCCCAGGCCAACCCCTCCTGCTGTCACCCCATGGACTTTGCCACCCGGCCTCATGGTCTGTCTCTGGCTCTTTCAGACGAGCCAAGCTCAGACTCTACCTGGAGCAGCTTAAGCAGCTGGTGCCCCTGGGCCCTGACAGCACTCGCCACACTACGCTGAGCCTCCTGAAGCGTGCCAAGATGCACATCAAGGTGAGCAGGTGCACCTTCCTCCCTCTCCAGCTGCCCTGGCTGCTCCAGCCTGTCCCCGTGTACTCTGGGTAGCCCTATGACCAGAGGTCTGTCCCACAGGTTGGTGGGGAACTGCCTAGCAGATAGCACGTCAGGGGTCTGAGGTTTTTCTTTTTCCTTTTTCTTTTTTTTTTTCTTGTAGGGGAGGGTAGCAACAAGAGCTGATGGTGGTCAAGGAAGTTACATGGCTTGTCCTGGGTTTTGTTGGGAAGTGTTTTAGGGAAGACAGTGTAGTGGGCAGGCTGGACTAAGGGAGAGGGAGGTGGGGTACAGATGGCTCTCTGAGGCTCTGTGCTGTGAAGGGACAGAATCTAAAAGGAGAGGTGGGGGCAGGAGCCCCTCCATTCCCTCAGACGCAGGACAGCACTACTCTTGGGGTGGGTCTGGACTGAGGGAGACATGGACTGGTAAGCCCTCCAAGGCATTTAGACTGAGATGTGCTGATTTTGGGGTCTTGAGGCATTCAGGCCAACCAAGGTACATCTCTTTCCCCACGAAGGCCTCACAGGTGTGGGGCCTCGCAGGAGGGATGGCAGGAGGTCCTCAGAGAGCAGCACTATCTCACTTGAGTCCACAGGAAGGTTTAAGAAGGCAGGAGGACAGGCACAGATGCTGCAGGTACAGGCACAGTGAGGGCCAAACCAGGGGCAGGTACAGCCCATGTGGACAGAGCTATCCTCTGGAAGAAGGTGTCATCCAGAGGCTAGATAGCACCGTTCCAGACCTTTTGACCCACTTGTGACTTGGCTAGGGCTGGCCAGTGACTATGGGCATTCTAGAGCTGGTTAGCAACCTGAGTGTATAGGGTCACAGTGGGTTTGTGTGACTGCCCGTCTGGAATAGGGATGGGCACATCAGGCCTTGGGGCCGGTGGGTTTGGGTACCTGTGACCTCAGCCTGGTTGGACCACATTGGGGTTGACCATCCTGCCCTGTTGAGGTCTCTGTGCCCTTCCCTGTGGGTTTGCCTACTCTTGGCCCTAGACTCACAGGCCACCACCCCACATCCCATTCCTAGAAACTGGAGGAGCAGGACCGGCGGGCACTGAGCATCAAGGAGCAGCTGCAGCGGGAACACCGCTTCCTGAAGCGGCGCCTGGAGCAGCTGTCAGTGCAGAGCGTGGAGCGTGTGCGCACCGACAGCACTGGCTCTGCTGTCTCTACAGACGACTCAGAGCAAGGTGGGGGCTGGGGCAGCCTGACCTGGGCCTCTGGCATGGGCCTTGTGCAGCTCCTGGTGGAAGAGGAGGTGCCTAGGCTAGGGGTGGGACATGTGGTAACAAGGTCCCTGCACTGACTGAGCATCCTACACAGTGGTGCGTTCTTTCCTCATTGTCACCTGTAGAAGGGATGAGATAGGAGGGTTAGGCACAGAAGCCAATGAGTGCCCAGGTGAAGCTGGAGCCTAGTCTGGCCCCAAGCATTGTGCTTGCGAAACTGGATTACTTTTTTTTGCAGTAGGAGGTTTGAACTCAGGGCCTTGTGCTTATTAGGCAAGCACTGTACCACTTGAGCCACTTCCCCGGTTATTAGTTTGTTTTTTTGGCCTCAGACCCTGATCCTCCTACCTGCATCTCCTGAGCAGTTGGAATTACAGTTGGGCACCACTATACCTGGACCAGGGCTGGGTTCTTAACACACACTGCAGACTGGAGCCATCTATTGTCTGCCACCTCAGGGCCCAGACAGGTTTCCGCTTCTCCCCACACCCCTCAAGAACCTCTGCTTCCATGAAAGGGAGAAATGGGCAATGACTTTGGAAGGGAGCCTCAAGATGGCCCCCTCGGAAGGGGTCATCCTGACCCATCCTCTCTCTGTTCCCCCAGAGGTGGACATAGAGGGCATGGAGTTTGGCCCTGGGGAGCTGGACAGTGCTGGCAGCAGCAGTGACACCGATGACCACTACAGCCTGCAGAGTGGTGGCTGCAGCGATGGCAGCTACAGGCGCCCATGCCAGCGGCCTGGACGCCCTGGCCTCTCGTAGGCCCCATGTCCTGTGCTCCTTGGCCTGCCAGACTGCCTGGCCAGGTGTGTCAGCCCTCAAGTCCTCCCTTGACCGTCGCCAGCCTCTCCATGGGCCCACTGCTGTGCCATTCTGGAAGTTCCAGCTGCCGCCTGGGCTGCCCGCCTCTGCCTGCCCCTCCCTGCTGGGCAGGGTCCCCTGCAGGGAGGCAGGGCCCAGCTCCCACTTCCTGGAGCTCAGCATAGCCGCCCACAGTCTGTTCTCAGATTTCTAATCATTCCAGAAGTATTAAATGTCATTGCTGCAAACCTTGGCGGGCACCATGTAAGGGGGCTTAATAACCACCACTGGGAGCTTGGAACTCAACGCTAGATCCCAGGAGAGAGGAGTGGACCGAGGAAGGAAGGTGCAGCTGTCTGTCCGTCCATCCATCTATCTGTTGGTCCACACAAGCTCCTGAGGCATGGAAGAGGGATCCATGAAGGGCGGGACTTGGGTGAGCACCTGGGCCAGGTGGGTGGAGAGAGGCCTTCCCCCCACAGCTCCTAAGGGCTGGCCAGGCTACCCCACACTGAGCTGGGCAGCTTCTGCTCTGTTAGGACCATCAGACATACACACGCATGCCTAGGCTCACACCATGCGCACACACTCATGCAGACTTGTAGGCACTAGAGAGCATTAGTCCTGAGAGGTTGGCCTTCAGGGGTCACCTGCAAATGTTGGCCCCTGACCTGTGCCTGGCTCCCCTTCCAGCCCCTGCTCATCTGCACTGCCCCAGTTAGCTCTGCCTGGTCTGTGCAGGAAATGGGGCTTTTCTTCCTGGCAGGGGCTGAGATGAACTGGGCAACAAGCTTCAGCCACTGGGTCCTCTGGGCTTTCTCATCTCCCTTTGTTAAGAAAAGCCAAAAAAAAAAAAAAAAAAAAACTAAGTGTGACAGGGAGCTCCCTTCAGGGGACCTCACATATTCTGCCCATGGCAGCTCAGCTGGCAGAGGCTTTTCCCAAAAAAACAAAACAAGCATTTTTTAGAAGAGGAAAAAAAAAAAGCTCTGAAGACCGGCCAAGGGACGTGAGTGTGTGCCGCCTCTATTTCCTGTATGAGATTTTTGTACTCTATTTTCCTAGCCGTTATTGCGTCCTTGTTTGCTGAGGGGTGGGAGTGACCCAGCGTCTCAGGGACCCATCCTCTGTCACATCGTCATAGTGTGCCTTGTGTCCCCCGTCTCACCCTTCCCACCACCACCAGCACATCCCTGTGGCTCACAGGGACGCCCCAGGTCTGCCCCCTCCTTACTGCCAGCCCTTCGCAACAGCTGTGGCTTCCTGGGAGTGACACCTGTGTCACTGTGGGCAGCTTGGCTGCGCTCTGTCTCCTGTAGGAAGGGCCATGACCTGGCCCCAGTGTTGGCTCCCCAGTGGCTGGTGAGCTTGGGGAAAGCAGGCCTGCTGGGCTGTAGCTTGCTTCCCCCTGCTCCTGACCTAGGCGAGGGTCCAGGTGTCAGCTATTGGCAGATGGTCAACAAAGCATTCACTCTGGTGGTGCAAACCTGGCTAGGAGGCTTCTGCTGGCCTTTCATTCCTGAAGACCTTTTCCCTGGGGCAACACCCCCCCACACACACACACCACACACCACACCCCCCCCCACACACCATACACACACACACACCACACCACACACACCCCCCCACACACACCATACACACCCCCCCACACATACCACACACACACCCCCCCCACACACACCACACACACCCCCCACACACACCACACACACACACCACACACCATACACACACACACACCACACACACACACACCACACACACACCCCCCACACACATCACACACACACCCCCACACACACCACACACACACACCACACACACCACACACCACACACACACACACACACCATACACACACACACCACACACACACACCACACACCATACACACACACACACCATACACACACCCCCCCCCCACACACACACACCACACACACCAACACCAACCACACACACACACACACCCCCCCCACACACCCCACACACACCACACACACACCCCCACACACACCCACACACACACCACACACACACACACCACACACACACACACATACCATACACACCATACACACACACACACCATACACACACACCACACACACACACACACACACACACACACACCATACACACACACACACACACACACACCAGACACACCACACACACCCCCCCACACACACCACACACACACAGCAATACTCAAGTGGTGGCCATGGGGCTGGACAGCACCTGCCTCCTCTGGTGCATTTGTAAACAACTTACAAACTAGGGTGGGGTTTAGGAACTGGTTTATCTTCAGCCTTGTCAATGGACACCCCAGGGTGGGTGGCCCATTGAGGCAGAAGGCTTCCCTAGAAACAGCTCTGGCACAGAATCTGCCCTCTTGTGGCTTGATATGGCAGGCAGAGAGCAAGTCTGTGCGCAGGGGATCTGTAGACTAGGACAGGCCATCCAAACATCTTACTAGGTGATTCTGTCTACATCGGTAGCCCCTCTAGGGATCTGCAGTGCCCACAAGGGGCTTCTCCTGTCTGCCTAAGCTTGTCCAGCAAGCATTTGTTTTGAGTACCTCCTGCCTCTGAGCAGGGCATGATCTGTGTTTAAGGGTTTGCTTCAGGGCCTAGAACTCCTCTGCCTCTGAGGGGCCCTGAATTCTTAAACCATTAACTCCCTGCTCCAGCCCCAGCACCTGGGGTTCTGCCCAGCAGAATCCAACCCAAGAGGCTAGAGTGCCCCTTTGGCCAACTTCCCTGGCAGCTTAGTCCTTGTCTTTTTGGGCCATGGTTCCCATACAGGCTGTAGAGGTGGCCTCACAAGCCACCCTTGGGGTGCTGCCCAACTGCCCCTCTCTGCTAACAGTAGGTGTGTGAGGGGTGGGTCCATGGCAGGTGGGGGCTGGTGCTAAGAGTTATAAATCCATTCCTCCTCCCCCACTCATGCTATTTGCACAGACTGGCCATTAGTGGTGGCCACAGAGACCTAGCAGGTCTGTTGTGATGTCTGTAGAAAGAAATCAGGACCAGAATAGCCACTACCTGTGCCCTCCACCTATGCCCACCCATGCCCACGTGGGCCACGTAGTTGAGAGTCGAACCTCAGGTCCAGGCTTGGGAAGTGACCCCCACACCAGGCCCTACCATTCTGCTGCAGGTCCAGCTGGACTAAGAGGGATTACACAGGGTTTTTGCCTCCACATGAATCCTGGGCCTGACTCTACGGCCCTGTCCCAGTGGGATGGCGAGATGCTTGAGCTTAGGTTCCTAGGTAGATGGAGCCCTATGCCAAGTTATGGTCATAGGGCTTCCACCCCCTTGTCTGCTCCCGACCATCCCCTGCTTTTCTTGAAGTCAGCCAGCCTGCCACTTTCCTTCCCTCTGCCACTGCCTGCACAGAGGTCTCAAACCATGCCAGTAGACTGCCTTGGGCCCCTAACTAGGGCACTAGGGCAGGTTCCGTGCCAGAGTCTGGGGCCACACAGGGGCCTGGTGTGCTATAAGACCTGAACTGCAGCGTGAAATGGGGCCCTTACCTTCCTTCCCACTGGGTGGGGCTGTGCTGTGTCATTCTGTCATTGAAATATAAATACAGATTTTTATACCTCATCTTCTGGCTTCCGGTTCTTTCCATTGCCCTTCCTCTCGGCCACAGCTAAAGGACCTGGGCTCACATCATCCCACACCTTGGGATTTGGCCCTCACCACCCTCTCTGAAGCCTCTGCTTTCTGGGAGGACTGACAGATCCTACCTGCTAGCCACTTCTGGACCCCTACCTGTCATGCCTGGGGTTGAATGCAGGTGGGAGTTGAGGCAGAACCCCCCCCCCCACCACCACCTCTAGCCTGTATGCTAACAGGTGTTTTTGTTGTTGCCCTTGGAGCTTTGCCCTAGCCCTGGGCTAGGGCTGATGCATGACTGGACCCAGGACAGCTCTCCCCTTACAGGATTCTGTGTTGGTCATTGTTGCACAGAGGCTGCTGGCTCTCTAGGCTGCACCCTGAGATTCCTCCCTGGACCTATCTCCAGCATCATGACCTGCCATGCTTAGGGTGGGAGTGTGGCCAGTAAGTGCTGGTATTAAGCTTGGGTTCCTACCCTGCCTTCTGGGGACGGTTGTGAGACCACATGCAGTGGGGAGGATGCAACAGGGATCCTACTGCCCCCTGCCCCACAGAGAGGCTCCAGTCCTTTGGAGGGAACCCCCCTGGGAGAGCCCTGGTCCTCTGAGGGCACAACTGTCCAAGAGAAGAGTGCATCTGGGCCCTGCCCCCGCAAGAATGCTACTTTTGAGTATTGCAGAAGTGATGGATGGGGACATCTGAATTGTGGGGTCACTACGCTGGATCCACAGGTTTTAGGGTGACTGTGGGAGAGGAACTGTGAGGGCCTCGGGTGGAACCTGAGTTCTCCTTCCTCCCAACAGGATTCTGGATTTTTTTTATTATTATTCATATAATAATACAAGGCTTGGGTCATTTCTCCCCCCTGCCCCACCCCTCCCTTACCACCCACAGGATTCTGGATTCTTGAACCTATGAGCCCCCTCAGGGGACCCTGGGAATTCTCAGCTGTGGGGCCTCAGAGCTGGTATTGGTGTTGATGTAAATGTGGACATCCAAATTCCAAATACAATGTTTTAGAATCTTCACCAGCACCACTTCCTGTTGGGGTGGGAGCAGGGTCTGTGCTAATCACTTTGCATAATTAGCAACTGGTGTAGTCATGCTGGGCCCATTCTCACAGTTGGGAAACTGAGGCTCAGGAAAGTATCCCTTCCCTAGCTCACTTGGCCAGAGAATGATGGACCCAGGCCTGCCCTCCCAGCTTCTCCAGATTCCCTCTTTGCATTTAAGGGGTTCTAGTCACTGTCCCCAGTTGGGACCCCTGCCTGTATCCCAGCTCTTACCCACTCTTTACTTGGCAGCCAGAGTGACCCTCAATCTGGCCCTACTGGTCCCCTCCCCACAGTCCTCTGTCTTCCCATCACCCCAGGGATCGATCCCAAACACTTGCTCTGTCCGTCCTTCACTTCAGTCTAGTCCACCCCAACCCGGTCCTCTGCCCTTACCACCTCTTGGTGGCTCTCCTCATTCAGTTTTGGCCTAGCCCAATCTGGGAACTGGGCTCTTAGTCCTCTGCATCCTACCCATCACGTTTTTTGCTGAGATTACTGCCACACAGATCAGCTGCTGGGCTAATCTGGGCTGATTGCTGGCAGGGCCTTTTCACAGAGCTCCTTCCTCCTTTCCTAATCCTTAGCCAAGGTAGGGACACACCTGCCCCACAGGACCTTTCCAGCATGGAAATGGGCTGTGCGTCTTCCCTGGGGAGGGAGCTGCCAGTGCTCTCAGCTGGCCTTCCTCACTGCCTCAGCCCCCTCAAAATGCCAGAGGCCCTTACCAGCGCCCCTCCCCTGGGCTCTTCAGGTTCCCAAGCTCGACAGCCTTCTTGAACCCGCTCCTTTTGGCTCTAAAGACTCCACCAACACTGTGGTGACCCCGTTCCTGGTGGTGCTGATCCAAACTTGTTCCTGAGTTTGGGGACTGAGTTTTCACCTTTGTCACTTGAATGTCAAGATGATGGAAAACAGTCTTCTCCAACCCCATGGTCTAAGGCAAACCTTCTGTTCTTTTCTGGAGGAACAGGAAGAATAGGAAGTAGTGCTATTTTGTCAGTCTCCCAGACCACACCTTCCTGGCCAGGAGCTCCCAGGGTTCTCTGCCAGCTCCCAGGGCTCCCTGTGCCCTTCCAAATTCCTTGTTACCCTGTGCCAGCTGTCCCCTCCACCTTTTGTCACTTTTGTTACTGCAAACTCAAGCTTCTAACACACTGAGAATGTTACTCCCCTGCTTAAAAATGCCCCCTCCCTCCTCATTACCTGGAAAACAGTCCCACCACCGCCACTGAAAACCACATCCAAAACCAATTTCTAACATCACACTCTCTGCAAAGTTTAAAAATAACCTCAGAAAACAGCATCCAGAACCTTTTAATATTATTATTAGGAAAAAAAAAAAAAGCTTGTGCCAGGAGGGAGAAAAGGCAAATAGCAAAAACACTCATTCTCACAGTCCTGAGTTCAGGTCTGGTTACTTCATTATATTCTTGCAGGGTTCCTGAGGGAGAATTAGCTCTTAGGTTCCTTTTATCTTTCATCCCCACTGAAATCCCAACTGATTTTGATTGGAAGAAAGTGAGCTTGTCTTGGAAATAAGTGTAATGTAATTGCTACTGTTTGTCATTTGTACTCCAGAGGCTAAAACTGTTGCAATTTTTACTCTATATTTTTATGGCTTTTTATGGCCTCACAAACACCTTTCAAACAAATAACTGTGGCCAGCAACCCAAAATTGGATGGAGAGTTTGTGGGCCAGGAAACCACCCAGGAGTCACTAAGAAAAGTGTGTGTCCAGAAAGGCTTCCTAAGCTATGGATTGTGCCTCCTGCTCTGATGGCGCTCCTTCTGTGGAAGTAGTCCCTTGTCTTTCTGGTATCTTTAATTCTATATCCTCTGAGTTTCTCCTAACAGTCTATAAATATCCACAAGTTCCTCCCACTTTAAAACAAAACAAAACAAAACCAAAATCCTCTGGGTCAGTCCTGCATTCCCACCCCCTCATCTTGTGTCATCTCTCTGTCTCTTTCTCTCTTCCCCTCCCTTTTCTCCCCCTTTATTTTCCTTCCTTTTTCTCCCTCTCTCTGTCTTTGCCTCCTCAGCAAAATTTCTTGAAGGTCTGGACTGCACAGCCTCTACTTCCTCTGGCCAAACCCAGCTAACTTCAGCTCCCTGCTGTGCCCCACCTCCAACTCAAACTGAATTTGAACATTAATTTTTCTCTCCTTAAAAACATTAAGAAAAAAGATCCAAGCCTGGCATGGTGGATCCCAGCACTCAGGAGGCTGAGGCAGAAGGATCTCAAGTTTAAGGCCAGCCTGGGATACATACCAAGTCCCTGTCCCAAGGAAGAAGAAAAGAAGGGAAGGGGAGGGGAGGGGAGAAGAGAAGAGGAAAAGTGATCAGAAAGAATTCTACTTAGTCTCATAGTCACATTAGACTAGAACATTGTCTAATGGGCCACCTTAGCAGAGTGGAAGAGTACTATTTACTAATGACTAAAACCCACACCTTGTAAACCTGTATGTTAACTTTAGAGAAGATTGGTAAATTGCACCGAATTTTGTCCCGTAGAAATAAAGTATAACCAATACAACTGATACCCCAAAGGTCTGGTTTCCCTGGATCAGATGAGCATCAACCAGATTTGCGTCAAATTTAGCAACTTTGTTTCAGCATTCATTCTTCCATTGACTGCCTGTGTGGTTTCTGGCGTCCTCCTTAGAGAGCACGTCTGTCCTCCTGAGTTAAACACACGCAGCCATTCCATGCTTTACACGCATCATGTTTTAACGGTTTGCAAATGGGATTGTGGAGGAAGTCGTTTCTGTTCGAAGGACAGCGAGGGCTTGGGAGTTAAGTCCTTTTGCAAAACAATGCTCATTGTAGAAGACTGTACAGCCCGCAATCGCTAACCCCGCAAACGAGCCAGGCACTGCTGGACTGGGCGCTCACTCGGTGGCCTGGTGAGCGACCCTATTAGGGACACACGCTGACTCCCAGAGGAAAGACAGGCTGGGGTCGGTCGGACTGTCAGGCCGCAGGCTTTCTTTACCGTAGGACCAGGATTTGGGGTTCGGTGGGCAGAAACATTCATTCGTGAGACTGGACGCAGAACTCAAAGCAGACCGCACTCCACAGAGCTGCGCAGGATCCCCGCAGGACGCTGGCCGCTGGCCCGGGGGGCGGGGCGGAGTGGGGGCCGGGTCTCTGGAGAGAGAGCCAATCAGTACACTTCTGCAGGATGCCGGGCGGCGGGCCGGGGGCGGAGACAAGGGCGGGGTCTCCGGCGGGAAAGCCAATCATTTCGCTCTGGTGGAGGGATGCTGGCCCCGGAAACAGGCAACGCTGTTCCCACCCTCCCCCAGGTCTGCCCTGTCTGCCCCGCCCTCTTCCATGCCACGCCTGCGCAGTTAATCCCGCGACACCGCCCTGGCCTTCTGCGCACGCGCACATCCGGACGCTCCCGTGAGGCTCTGCGAAGTGCGCTGTTGGCGGCATCTCTGGAGGAAGACGACCGGAAGCTGCTTGAGGTGAAGGGCTGGCATCTTGGTGCTGGGCTTCGCGGCTCTGGGGTTGTGGGAGCGGCGGCGACTTCCCTTTCTTTGCCCTCCTGCGGTGGGTTGGGGAGAGAAGCTTTGGCTTTGGGGGCGGGGAGTGGGGCAATGAATAGGGGCCCAGGGGCGGAGGATGGAGCCCAGTCACCAACCACTGCCAGCTTGGTGGGATTTTTTTATTTTTTATTTTTTGGCGGTACTGGGATTTGAACTTCGTGCTTCCCGCCTGCGAGGCATTGAACCACGCCTCCAGCCCTTTTTGCTCGGTTGTTTTGGAGCCAGGGTCTCGCTCTTTGCCTGGGCGGCCTGGATCACAATTCTATTTATGCTTCCCGTTGTAGCCGGAATGACGGACACGCCCCATCGCGCCCTGCTATTGCTTGAGATGGGGTCTTGGGAGCTGCCTGGCCTCGTGGGCCTCGAACCGCGATCCTCCCGATCTCTGCCTCCCCAGTAGCCGGACACAGCCAGGCTTTTTTTTTTTTTTTTATAATAACGATTTGGTGGCCCTCATGAATGTGTTTTATTAAAGAGCACAAGTGTCAAAACGGGATCAAAATAAAACAATGCAGAGAATGCCCTCAGATTGTCAGATGTCTCGTGGATCCTTAATCTGCAGGAGCTGTCATTGTCACCTTGGCGACCTTAAATCGTGGGCCATTCAGCACCTGTTGAGCATAACAGGTGGGCAGTTCTGAAGCCTGAAGCCTGATTTTGAGTCTTGGGAGCTTGGTGAATGCTAATTGAGGTACATATTTGATTTATTTGATTCTTTGTAAAAACAAAAACAAAAGGTTTTCTTTAATGATTCCCATTTTCTTACTAGGAAGGGAAGGGGAAAGAGGCTGGTTAGCCACATGGTGGCTTGGGTTTGTTTGGATCCATTAGTTTGAGTTTCAAAAAAGCTTGTTCTATACTGTATTTTAAGCCATTTTATCTTTGGAAAAAATAAGATTTTATTGTTAGATTTTTGTTACTGTTGCAGTTCCCTAAGAAATACTCTAAATGTTTTTGCACCAAGCATGGCAGCTACAACTACCATTCAGTTCATTCACTCCCAAATATGTGACATTTACCTGTATTTTCCTTTTAAAAACACATTCGTCTTATTTGTGGTCTAATACTTGTTTTCTCTCCCCACCCCCAGGAGGAATCATAGATTCTAAACAATTATTTCCTTCTGTATGGACTTAATGTAAAAATTAGTTTTGTTTCTATTTAGATTTTTTTTCTAAAAATCAGCACTACAAATCTGTAGCAGATACAAAACACTGATAATTGAGCCATGAATTGTGGAAATGAGTTTGTGGAAACATTAAAAACCATTGGTTATCCCAAAGCCGATACTCTTAATGGAGAAGACTTTGACTGGCTGTTTGAGACTGTTGAAGATGAATCATTTTTGAAATGGTTTTGCGGGACTGTGAATGAACAGAATATATTGTCTGAAAAAGAATTGGAAGCTTTTAGTATTCTTCAAAGATCAGGCAAGCCTATCCTAGAAGGGTCAGCTTTGGATGAAGTTCTTAAAACTTGTAAAGCTTTTGATTTGAAGACACCTAGACTGGATGACCAAGAGCTAGAGAAATTAAAGGATGAGGTTCAAACTCTGCAGAAATTAAAGAATCTAAAAATTCAGCGACGTAATAAATGCCAGTTGATGGCTTCGGTAACTAGCCACAAATCTCTGAGGTTAAATGCTAAACAGGAAGAGGCCACTAAAAAGCTGAAGCAGAGCCAAGGAATTCTAAATGCCATGAACACTAAGCTCAATAATGAACTTAAGGCTATTACTGATGGAGTTGATAAATTGATGGTATTCTTCAGACATTCTAATTCAGGTGAAGGGACAAATCCAATGGTATTTTTATCTCAACTTTCCTTGGAAAAATATCTAAGCCAAGAAGAGAAAAGCACAGCAGCATTAACCTTGTATTCCAAAAAGCACTTTTTTCAGGGTATACATGAAGTTGTTGAAAGTTCAAATGAAGAAAACTTTCAACTTTTAGATATACAAGCACCATCTATTTGTGATAATCAAGAAATTCTTGAGGAGAGACGACTAGAGATGGCTAGGCTGCAGCTAGCATATATCTGTGCTCAGCATCAGTTAATTCATTTGAAGGCAACTAATTCAAGCATGAAGTCAAGTATACAATGGACGGAAGAGAATCTTCGTGGCCTAACCAGCAAGGTAAACACAAATGACACTGGACTCATTGCAGTTGTCAGGAATGCAGGATTTAATGTTCTATTAGAGTACATTGTAAAGGGGGATTTATGGGGACGGGGAGAGGGTTGAGGGGGCGATAGGATGGATGTGATCTAACCAATGTACAATATAAGCCTAATTGGAATTGTCACTATGAATCTTCCCCACCCCCCGTATAACAAATATAGCCTAATAATTTTTTTATGATTATAAGTACATAAACAATTACAATTTTTAATTTTTCTCTTTGTTCAGTACTTACATGTGATAACATCTCAGTGTTTCATACAAATAGACCCTCATATTAATGGAAGGCAGAAGTAGCAATTATAACTCCAACCACATTATATAGTTTATTTTAAACAAAATGTCTTAACTTGCATTCTGAATTTGAAATTTGTGTTACTTCAGATATAGACTAAACTGGAATTTCCTTTTTATGATAGATGACAGAGACTTAATTGCTTGATTATTGGTATTCTGCCTTGTTTGCTCTGCCCAGAGCATGGTGCTAATAAAGTCCAACTCCAAGTTCAGTGGACTGAATCCCTGTTTTCTTGTTGAGAATGTATAAATGTATTGCAGGTGTCCATCTGCACTCTTGGGAAGGTTCCTTTCTTATTAACATAACCATTAGATTATTGAGTAAAAATGTAACTTTTCTGAATCTTAATACCTGCACCAAGTTAGTTACTATAACTAACAAAAATTTAATACTGAAGGAAGTCCTATAATTCTGTGTACTACGATCAAGTAATGGCCTAGTAGACTACTTACCAAAATAGTTTTGAGACGTTAAATATCATTCATTCACTTTCATTGAGTAATAATGTGTTATGATTGAGTAAAACAAGCATGGCAAGATCTGTTTTTGCAGCCATTGCTGTGTGTGTGTGTGTGTGTGTGGGCACCTACATATGTAGCACTAAAGTTGAGTAATTCATACTGGGTTACTCTTGATTTAGTCCTTATTTTTCCTTTTTAAATTGTAATTTAGTTGGCTTGTGCTAATAGGAAATTAGTTTTTATTCATTGAGCATATTATCTGACCATCTAAAACAGAAGTAAAAATCATTTAAAACCTGTTCTAAGTTTAAACCTGCAGTTTGAAATGTAAATGGTTTTCTTTGTAGGCAATTGACAAAGAAAATTTGGATGCTAAAATTTCTAGCTTGAACAGTGAGATTCTGAAACTTGAAGAACAGATCACTCATATGAAAGACAAAAGTTTGCCTGCTGTGGTAAAAGAGAATGCCCAGCTATTGAATATGCCAGTTGTAAAAGGAGATTTTGATCTTCAGATTGCTAAACAAGATTACTATACAGAAAGACAAGAGTTAGTTTTAAATCAATTGATAAAGCAAAAGGCATCATTTGAACTTGTACAGTTGTCATATGAAATTGAATTGAGGAAACATTGGGACATATACTGGCAGCTTGAAAATTTGGTTCAAGAACTTAGTCAAAGGAACACAGTGCTCTGCCAGCGATTAGAAATGTTAGCTGATCCATCAGTATGTCAGCAGATAAATCCAAGGAATACCATTGATACCAAAGATTATTCTACTCATCGGTATGTATGTTTTATTGCTTCCTTACTATTTTTTTTCTTTTCTTTTTGTGAAATACTAAAGAGAGTTTGAATTGAAATTGTATGAGTTTAAAAAAATTATTTGTACACCAGTTTTGGCCTTTCTGTTCTCTTCTGCTTTTCCTTTTTATTTTTTTGCTCCCCTTCCATTCACATTAGGTCTGAACGTAGCTACTTTAGAAAAGAAGTCAATGGGTTGGAAGAAATGGATAGATAAAAGATTTTACTCCCCTTTAGGCACTATTATTTAGATTTGGGGCAGGAAATTTGAATACAGCTTTGTATAGTAGGTACTGCTGGGCATGGGACTGACTGCATTGGAGAAGGTGGCAGTAGCGGGTGGAAGTCTTCATTCCTCTGGTCATGTAGGTCGTTAAGAGTGAATACTAGCTCCTAAGCCTTTTCTGAGTATCTAAATAATTGATGGTACCAGGATCCTGAAATGAGAGGGCTAAAGCCATAAACTTAAAAAAATCTGTATCCTAAGGTGGGTATATTGGTACTTACCTGTAATCCTAGTACTCGAGAGACTGGGGCAGGAAGATCTGCAGCTTGAAGCCAGCCCGCATTGCAGGCCAGTCTGGGTTGCATAATGAAACCTTACATTTTTTTTAAAAAAAGTCTTTATCCTGACTTTTCTCAGGACTAGAGTAAAATAACCTGTTTTCTTACTATTAAATGAGCAACTTGCACTGGGCTGCCTCATTGCACAACTTCAGGGAGGTATCATCATGTTCTATGTAAACTGACACCTCACTGAATTGTGTAGTTTCATTCACATAACCATAGTAGGCAGCCTTGGACTTCAATGCATTTTGTAAAGCCTATTACGACTTGGTAAAAAGTATAAGTAAATGCATATATGTATATATTAGTGTGTGTATACACACACTGGTTATAAGAAAGAGAACATCCTTTTTGTCAGATGTGTGAAAGATGTTGCCTTAGGTTTTTTCATTTGTCCTATAGGCTGATGGATTTCTCTGTTATTAGTGATTGAAGTATAAGGTGATCTCATGGACCATCAAGATTTTATATTACCAATCAAGACTGGCTACCTAAGATGGACAAGATTGGAGTAGCCAAAGTTTGATATTACAGCCATTCATAATAGCTCCTTATTGTTTACATCCTACATTTTTACGTTTTTAGTTTTTTTCTTTTAATGCAACCACAGTCCTGTAAAATAGGTATTAGGATACCAAAATTAAGAGTTCATTTGCCTTCAGTCTTACATGACTGAGAACTCAGATGTAGGTCTTCTGTTCAAGTTCATTGCTGTTTCTGCTACATCATAGATGTATTTTATGAAAGAAGTGTTTTCTTGGGAGGTATTACTAAGTCACACTTTGAAGTAGGTGAATGGCAGTTAAAGTCAAGAAGAATTTTTAATTTAAGTCTTGGAAGATGGAATTCTTTTATGTCTTTTTTTTTTTTTTTTCAGTATTGGGGATTAAACTCAGGTCCTCCTCATGCTTGCTCACACTTGAGCCATGCTGCCAACCCTTTTTACATTGGTTATTTTTGAGGTAGAGTCTCACTTTATGCCTGAGCCAGCCCAGACTAAGATCCTCCTATATGTGCTTCCCGCATATAGCTGGGTTGACAAGTGCATACCACCATACCCAGCCATTGGCTGAGATGGGGTTTCATGAATTTTTTACCTGGGCTGGACTCAAAACTCAATCCTCTCAATCTCCTCCTGCCAAGTAGCTAAGATTACAGGCTTGAGCCACCAAATCCACTACACAACCCCCCCCCCGCCCCTCCCCCCCACACTTTTTTTTTTTTGCTTTTAGAGAGCATCTTGCTGGTCTCAAACTTGTTATTTGTTATGTAGCCAAGACTGACCTTGAACTTGCAATCTTCCTGCCTAGCCTTCTGAGTCCTGTGATAACAAGCATGCACTCCTATGCCCAAATTCATATTTCAGTACTGAAATACTATTATAGCTGAAATGGTTTCAGTTGCTTGATTTTGGAAGCACACCATATTTTTTTGTTGTTGCTTAGCTATCACACAAATGCAGTAGATTGTAATTTTGAAAACTACTAACGAGAATATTTCCCTGTAATTTTTCTGTTTTACATTTTAGGCTTTATCAACTTTTAGCAGGAGACAGTAAGAAAAAAGAATTGTTTATAACTCTTGGAAACTTGGAGGAAGTGGCTGAGAAATTGAAGCGGGATGTTTCTCTAGAACAAGATCAGTTGGCAGTATCTGCTCAGGAACATTTTTCCTTTCTGTCCAAAGTGAATAAGGATGTGGACATGCTTTGTGATGCTTTGTATCAAGGAGGGAATCAGCTCTTGCTTAGTGATCAGGTGAGGGTTTCAATGTATTAAAAATGCTTTAAAAATAACACTTGTTATAAAAGATACAAAATAAGATATTAACATGAGAAAAATTCTCCATTCCATTACCCTAACACAAAATTTATTTTTTATATCTCCTAATTTTAATTCATATCTAAATATATTTTTCAGATATTTTTTATTGTTACTACAGAATTTAAAAATTTATAAAATTTTCAGGCACAGTAAAGATATGTAATGTTGATGCTGTGTTAGAAAGAAATTAGAACTACTCCTGTATGTTTTTACTCATTTTAGCAAACAGAGGATTGCCCTTTTATCTTTTAAAAACCTTTGTGTACACTTACTAATACATGTTCCTCCTAATAGAATTCTCTCCCTTCTTCAAGGAGTAACTACTGTGCTTCATTTTGCTTACCATTTGCTTGCCTTTATTTATAGTTTTAGTACATGTGTGTATTCCTAAATTACATATTTAGCTTTATCTGCTTTTAACTTTATCATGTGGTATTGTATGCTTTAACAACTTGTTTCTCAGCATTGTTTTTGAAACTTGTCCATGTGGATGCATATAATGCTATAGTTCATTCATAGTTTTCTATATAGTTAGTATTCCATTATATGAAATTTCATAATTTTCTGTTCCGTGGACATATAAGTTACTTCAAGTTTTCACTGTAAATTGTACTGCTGTGGATAGTCTCTGTATTATTTATTTTGGGATAGTGGTGACCAAATACCTGACAGAAATAAAGGAGAGAACACTTATTTTAGCTCAGTTTCTGAGGATTCAGCCCATGGTCACTTGACCCCATTGACTGGGCATAATATCATAGCTGTGGGAGTGCGTGGCTGAGGAGGCCCTCGCCTTCTGGCAGACAGGGAGCAGAGAGAGGAAGGGAAGCAGAGAGAGAGAGACAGGAAGGGCCTAGGAACAAGATACTCCCATGAACCTGTCCTCAGTGACCTACTTCCTCCAGCTAAGTCCTACCTCCTAACATTTTCAGAATCTCCCAAAATAGCAGCACCAGCTGGGAACCAAGCATTCAACACAGGAGCCTGTGGGCGGTATTTCACGTCAAACCCTAACCATATTGTTGCATGCCCACGGTTGCATATTTGCAAGAGCATTTGGTATACCCACGTACACATACGTAGGAGTGAAATTGTTGGATTGCACGGTATGCATATACTCAGTTTCACAGGTGCAGGTTTAGTTCCTTATTTGAAATGCTTGCGACCAGAAGTGTTTCAGATTCATATTTCACAGTTCTTTGGATATTAGTATATTTGCATAAAATTTACCGGTTGTCGTTGGAGGCCTGGCTCAAGTGGTAGTGCGCCTGCCTTGCATGCTTGAAGTCCTGGGTTCAAAGTCCAGTGCTGCCAAAAAAAAAAATAAATAAATACAATTTATTGGTTGAGCATCCCCGATCTGAAAATCTGAACCAAAACTTTATTTTAATTTTTCCGTTGTTTTTTGGTTATTGAACCAAATCCAGCATGATGCTTAAAATGTTTTCATTTTGAGTTGTCAGGTTAGGGATGCTCAACCTGTATATTAAATTATTGCCCAAAGTGGTTGTACCATACTGCACCAGCAGTGTCTTTAAAAATACTGTTTATTTATTTATATCATTTTCATCATATAGTATTGTTTGATTTATAAATTTCTGCCAATCTTGTGGGTATAAAATGATGTTCAGTTAGGGTTGTAATTTGTATTTTCCCATATTTTTTTTCTCTTTTTTGTGGTACTGGGGATCAAACCCAGGGCCTCATGCATGCTAAACAAGCACTAAACCACAGAGATATATCCTCTGCACTATATTTCCCAATTATCAGGGAGGTTGAGTCTCCCTTTTTCTTGTTTATTGGCCATCTTTTTCTGAGAAATTCTTGTTCATTTCCTTTGCTTATTCTTTAGGTTCTTACAGAATTATTCATAGGCATTCTTTACGTATTTTAATGCCAGTCTATTGTTAATCATATATGTGAAATATATTTGTGGTTTATCTTTTTCACTTTCTCTTTCTTTGTCTCTGTCTCTCACTCCCTCCTTCCTCACAGTAAGTACTGAAGATTGAACTCAGGACCTTGTGCTTGCTATGCAAGCCTTCTGCCACTTGACTCACAGCCACAGTCCTTTGTGCTTTAGTTTCTTTTTTCAGGCAGGGTGTCTAGTTTTTTCCCAGCCAGCTGCAGATCACAATTATCCTATCTCTCCTGAGTAACTGGAATTATAGGCATGCACCACCACACCATTCTAAAAAAAAAAAAATTACAAATTAAAAGGATTTTAATACAGCACTTAACATTCTTCTGGTTTGCCCTTTTTTATTTTATACCTATGATTTGTTAAGGTTTGTCCTTAACATCAATATGACAGTCTCTTTTATTTTATTCTTAAGGTTATGCTGTTCAACTTTAGTTCTTTAATCTACCAGGAGTTTTTTTTTATATATGACTGGCTTATTCCACTTTGTGTAATGTTTTCAAGGCTCATGTCTATTGTAGCATGTGTGAAAGTTTTTGCTTTTTACAACTGAATAATATTCCTTGAATATGTGTACTATACATTGTTGATCCATCTGATGATAGCATTTGGATTTTTCCGTGTTTTCACTGTTGTGAAAAATGCTGCTGTGAACATAGGTGTACAAGGATCTGTTGAATCCCTGCTTTCGTTTCTTTTGGGTATATACCTAGGAGTGGCATTGCTTGAATGTGGCAATTTGATATTTAACTTTTTGAGGAATTACTTTTTCTGTTGCAGCTATACCATTATGCATTTTTATCAACAATGCATAAGGGTTCACATCCTCACCAACATTTATTTTCTGTTGTTTTTTAGATAGTAGCCACCCTAATGTGTATGAAGTGGTATCACTAATTAACTTTTTAAAAGACTTTCCATTTCTTGTTTTAGCTTCTTGATCTGTGAGATTTTTGTGTCAACTCTCTGTTACTGTGGTGGACTTGACATTTTCTTCACGTAGTTTTGTCAATTTTCTCTTTATGTATTTTGAGTCCATTTTATAAGTTATATCCAAATTTAAAATTTTGGTGAATAATTCATTACCCGAGTGGATTTAAATTAACCCTCTCTATTCCTTTAATGCTTTTTGTCTTGATACTAATGCTTTTTGGCCTGATTCTAATATGTCATCTTTCTTTAGGTTAATAGTTGCAGGACTTTTTAAATTCTTTTCACTGTGTTATCTATTTTAATTTCAATCTCTAAGTAGTTTCCTTAATTTTTAGTGTTATAGTACTTTAGTACTCTATTTTGGTTATTTTGGTCCACCATTTTAGTTATGTTCATGGTCTTTATCTTTTTGTTTTTGTTTGTTTTTAATTAGCATTGTGTATATAGCATTTTATTGTTGGATACTTTTTTTTTTGCTGTCCTAGTGTTTGAACTCAGAGCTTTAATGCTTGGTAGGCAGGTGCTCTACCACTTGAGCCTTGCCTCCAGCCCTGTTGGATACTGTCATTTAGATTTATTTTTGGTGGTAGGATCACTAGAGTTTCTGGAGATACATACCTTTTTTGACCTTTGATACTGCTATATTCCTTTCTTAAGGAATTGTATCTATTTATGTCACCAGCACTATTTTAAGTGTCTAGTAGACACCATTGATCATACAATATGCCATCACTTTATGAATGACTAAGAACGAAAAAACTTCTAGTGAAACTGACATGCTTTCTTATCGAGAATTTTAATTTTTCATATTTATTAGAAAGGCTTTTTTAGGTATAGGTAGGTTTTTATTATATCATTCGAGTATACATTAAAAGGGATAAATAAACCAATTAAAATGGTTAGGGTGTTTATTCCTAAAGCTTCACATTCAACTTAGAATTCCTCTAACTTATTTTTTGGATCACAGTTCACTGTATTTTTCTACACTGTACATCAAGAGTGTTGGTGAGATCACAAGTTCTTTCTCATCCATGGAACCTAGACCTAAATGCTGCTGATGATGATAATAATGGGGCAGGAATGTATATGAGGGGTCACTGGGGGGGCCAGTGGGAGAGAGGAGGGGTGGAGAGGATAGAAGTACACTACATACATGCACATGAAAATATAATGGAGGAGTGAAATTGTTCAAGGTATACCGTACACACATATGCCGTTATCACAGTGAAATTCCCTGATATTATCAATGAATGATAATTCAAAAATAAAGTTAAAAATTGAAAAGAATGTTGGTAAGCAAACATTTCTTAGGAGTACCTGACTGAAACAATCACATGATCCTCTCAATTATAAGATGTGTTTTCATTTAGATATGCTAAGATGTGAAAATACAACCTAGGATACCTAAAATGGGGGAATTTTCTAATTATCATATTTTTAATATGTGGTACCATTAGGTATAATTAGTTAATGCTTTTCCCTAGCTCATCATGGTATAAAAATTCATGTCAGTTTTTTAGTTGCAATTTTGTTATTTATGAAGCTGAACAGTTTTTAGTATCTGTAGAAGTATTATTTTAGCACTGTAAGATCTTTAGTATTGAGATTAAAGGTAAAATTGTTATTTCTGAGGGGTTTTTTTTTGCACTACTTGGGTATGAACTCAAGGCCTGGTGCTTGCTAGGCAGCCACTCTGCCACTTAAGCCCTTTTGAAGGTACTTTGTGAAATGTGATTTAAGAAGTACTCTGTGAAACTGGCATTTATGGCAGGTCATCAGCAATCGTTCTTGAACTTGAACATTGGAGTCACCAGGGAGCCTATCAACATGAGATTCCTGGCTCTTGCAGAGATGAGTGGGTTAGTCCATATGGAGTGAGGTACGGGAATTTGTATAGCATGACAAGTTGCCCAGGTGACTGATGCTGTGAACCACCTGAACAGCTGTGGCATGTTGAGGTAGTTAAAGCTGCAGATTTCTCAGAACTTGTGGTGATACTGGGTAGAATTTTAAGAGTAGAATGCTCTGAAAACTTGGAAGATGGTTTTAAATGCTAGGAAGTGAGGAAGTTGAATTTACTAGACTCAGAGGCTCCAGCATGTCTAGGTTTTTGAACAGAATTATATGTCAGGATGGTTTTTGTTGAATGTTAGTGTATAACTCTATCTTGTAAGACAGTGTGAAAAGAAAAATGGAGATTTTTGTTGAGGTAGTAATTCTTTTTCATTGGACTTCTCTTCAAGGCTCTCTCCATATTTAACATCTATAGTAAATAGGTCAGGCTAAAAGAAAGTTTGATTAATTAAGCAATATAGACTCCATGAGACTTTGTTTATTCTTGTATCCATGGTCTCTAAAATAGTGCTTTGCACCTGGTAGGCATTTAGTAATGTTTGTTGAACACATGAACACACAGAACAGTCTCCTCTAAGGAAGTGAGAGTTTGCTTTGAATCACTTAAAATTACCTGTCAAAAGTTGTAGTTAATTCTCATAGACTCTATGAGCCTATTAGGGATTTTTATTTGCAGTTTATTGCTAAGATTGTGGGAAGTTATTAAATCACTTAGTCTTTCCTTGCAAATTATGTTTTTAAATTTATAATTACTGTTCGGAATAAAGTTCTCGTATTAAAAGAGTTCTTCTTTTCTATTTTTTCCTCTTTTAGGAATTAACAGACCACTTTTATCAAGTTGAATCTCAATTAAATAAGCTCAATCATCTTCTTGCTGATATTCTTGCTGATGTGAAGACAAAAAGACAAATTTTGGCATCTAATAAATTGCATCAAATGGAAAGAGAATTATATGTATATTTTTTAAAGAATGGAGACTATCTAAAAGATGTTGTGGAAAATTTAGAAAGTCAATCAAAGATGAAGGCTGTTGGTCTTAAAGATTAAAATTTATTGAAAACTGAGTCTACATGCTATGTTTTAATGTTTTATGTGTTAGAGGGAGACTGTCTAATAAACATGAATTTTTAAATTTAAGCTCAGTGGAACATTCATTTCATGGACTGAAGTGTTAGAGAAACTGAGCATCCCTAACCTGAAATCCAAAATGCTCCAGTCTGAAATTTTTAGTTACTTTTCTTTTTTTTTTGATGTCTGGTATTGCTGTGTAGCCCAGGCTGGCCTTCAGTGTCCTTCTGCTCCCCCTCCCTAGTGCTGGGATTATAGGTGTATACCACCACACCCAGCCAAAATCTGAAACTTTGAGCACTGACATGGCACCACAAGTAGAAAATTACACACAGACCTTCAGGCTGTGTGTAAAAGGTGTATATGAAACATAAATAAATTTCATGTTTAGACTTGGGTTCCATCCTCAAGATACCTCATTATGTATATGCAAATATTCCAGAATCTGAAATCTTAAAGGCTTTTGGTCCCAAGCATTTCAAATTAAACTAATTTTTTTTCTTTTCAGTTATGGGACTCGAAATCCAAGCATTTCCGATAAGGGATATTGAACCTATATCAGTGTTATGAGGGGAAAACCCCTCATCACATTTGTTCAGAATCTCAGTGCTTTCTTATGACTCAATTGTTTGCTTGATGCCAATTAGTCCTGGTAAATTTTTACTTACAGGGAAAAACATTATTATGAAATGTAAGTATTTTTAATACAGTTAAATTATTTTTTAAATAGATGTTTTCTGCTGTATTCAAAATATTTTTAGAACCTAGAGTTGGCCTTTAAAATTTTTAGACAACACAGTAGTCCCCCCTTATCTTGAGTTCCACTGTCTTAAGGATTCAGTTACCTGAGGTCCACTGTGATCTGAAAGTATTAAGTGAAAAATTCTAGAAATAGTAAATTTAAGTTGTGTGTGGTTCTACATAGTTTGATGGAGCCTCAGACTATCCCACCTGGGACGTGAGTTCCACCATACTGTTCAGCATAACTGCTGTGTACTCTACCTACCTGAAAGTCACATAGTAACCCTGGTAGTTACCGGATTAATGTAGCTATAGTTTCAGGCATCTGCTGGGGTTTAGAATGTATCCTCTGTAGGTAAGAACTACAGGGAACTAGCCAAGTCCTCTTACATTTGACCAAAGTGAAATTCTGTTGCTCAAACTGTTTCCCCTTAATTCCCTGCTGTAGACTTGAGACTGAAATGTGTTGCTTGTACCACAGAATGTCAGGACTCCACTGGCCATTTTCATTGTAGGGTTTGGGTTCTGGGGCTTAAGATTTCTGCAAGACAGTTCAATAGTACTTTGACTTTTGAGTGACTTACACATCATAAATAATGAGATTTGAAATTTAAGGTTCAAAATTATGTCAAAGTGGTTGCTTGAAGGGTTTATGATGTGCATTTTGATCTCTCAGGAGTTGTATTTAATGTGGAATGTTAGTATAGTACATGGACAATTAGAAATTAGAGTTTGAAGCAGCTTATCAAACCATATTCCATTAAATGCTTCTTGAGAGCCTACTTTCTATATGGCCAGTGTTAAATCCGCCCATATAGAGCATGTGAGCTTTATAGGGAATAGCTGCAAGAGTATTTCTTACCTGTTTTATTACAAGGAATGCCAATCTTAAAAACTACATATTTTAGGTGTTTTTTATGGACATTTTCACCTATAACAGAAAATGGGCATGCTTATGTGGCAGTAAGCTCTGTTGACTTTTGTAATTTATTGAGCAAAAACATTTTGGCCGTTATTGTATCTATTATTTAAGTTTTTATTAAGTAAGCTTTAGTGTACTAGAAATAATTTTAGCAATAAATTTCACCTAAGATTCAACTACCAGTTTCTCACTTGAGTGACTTTTTTTTTTTTTCCTTTTCTTGGAATAGAGCATTTAAGTTTTCCTTTTCTCAAATAATGTTGAAAAGTATGTCACCTGCTTTCCTGGCTTATAGTAGCAAATTAAATTAGTGCCAGATAATTTAGATGTGTGACCAGATGCTTGATCTGTAACTGTCCCATTTAGGGCCAATGGGGCTGACCAACATGAGGATGGCAGCTTGTGTGTCTTCTATAACATCAGGTTTGCATACTTGAAGATTAGTATTTCAAAACCGTGAAAATATTTTGAAGTATGTTGCTTGGTTCATAATTGGTTAACTAGAAAAAAAGTTCTTTTTCTGTTTATTGTGATTCCCCAATTAAGCCTCCTGTTTGTTTTTTGGTTTTTTTTTAAATCCTTACTATCTTATTTGTATTATGGAATGATTAAAACCTGTTTCCTGTAGTTATTAATTCAAACTTGTTAAATGAAAGTCTCAATACATAAAATTTCTAAATAATTTAATGGTGTTACTTATTTGAAATCTCAAAACTAGTATTTATCTTATGTCAATCTTACATTTAGGACTTTGAAAATGGAAAATTGTGAGGCTTATGTAGGCTTTGATCTCTGTGATACCCCACTCTCCAGTGTTGCTCAGAAGATTATGTCTGCTATGCATTCAGGTGATTTAGTGGAGTCTGAGAATTGGGGAGAGAGTGCAAAGAGTAAGTAAGATATGAATTTTTCATTTATTATCTTGAATGCTAGTTATTTTTACGACTTAAGAATTGACAGTGAAATGAGGCAGCGCGGTTACTCTGCAGAACTTTATTTTTGTAGGGATCTTTGATGCCTGCAAAGGAAACTCAGTTCCTATCTCCTTTATTCCCATGAAGTGCTGACTGAATTTCACAGTCCCTTAACCCTGTTGCTTTAAAATAATGACTTTCTTGTTTCAAGCATTTCTGTCATACATTCCCCTAGAATCTGGACCAAGTGTTTTCGAAGAGATGCTCTTTCACAGTGCCTCTTGCTTGGCTCTCAGTTCACCGAATCTGTACATGGTATTTGCCATTGCACGTGGTACATACAGAAGTGGGTTATTTATTTATTTATTTGGAGGTGCTGGCTTTAAAGTCAGGGTCTTGCACTTGCTAAGCAGGCACTCTACCATTTGAGCCACGCTCCCCCGCCTTTTTCCATTAGCTGTTTTTCGTATAGGGTCTTGCTTTGACCATCCCGGGCCACGATCCTCTTATATATGCTTCCTGCTTAGCTAGGATGACAGGCATGAGCCACTGTATCCAGCATTCATTGGTTGAGATGGGGTCTTGAGAACTTCTTTGCCCGGGTTGGCCTTGAACCATGATCCTTCCTGGCTCCACCTCCACAGTAGCTAGGATTATAGTTGTGAGCCACCGTGTCTAGCAAGAAGTGTTTTCAACGGCTACGAATGACAGTGCCATAAAGATGTGACGTATAGATGACAGACCAGTGGGGGTGTGTATGTGTTTATGATAGCGCAACAGTGCACACTTATAAGTATGACTGAGATGTCTAACATCAGAGGGTTGTTTTGCTACTGGCAAAGCAGGCTTTATTCTAAATTTGTTTCTTTTCCTGCAGAGTAAGTTATGAGGGAGTGAAGTATTAAGTAATGAGGTAAGATGAAATAACAGAGTGTTGCCAACTATTAGCACAAAAGACATTAGAAACACAATTTCTTGGTTAACATATAATAGTACTTAACATTTCTTCTTTCTGTTTCTTTTTCTTAGTGGTACTAGGGTTTGAACTCAGCCTTGTACTTGCTAGGCAGGCACTCTACCACTAAAGCCACCAGCCTTTTTTGCTTTAGCTATTTTTTTTTTAAATAGTGTCTTGGGTTTATGCCCAGGCCAGCCTCAGACCACAATCCTCCTACCTACAGCCTCCCACATAGATGGAATCACAGGCATGCACCACCATACCAGAATTACTGATTGAGATGGAGTCTCACTAATTTTTTTGCCTAGGTTGGCCTCATACTGCCATCCTCCCAATCTCTGCTTCCCAGTAGCTGGGATTATAGACATGAGCCACTGCATCTAGCCAGCACTTAGCATTTTGATCTGTTCACATTCAGGCATTTGTTGCTTTTATGCCTCATTATAGTAAGAATCACTAATACATAAACCAGTAAGAATTTTTGGACTACGTATCTAGTAATTCATATGTTTTAGTGGGAACAAAAGCATAGTAAAGATAATTATTTTAACCTAAATATGTTAATTTTATCCCCTTTAAAACACTAACAAGTACTCAATACTCAGTCCACAACCAGAATTCTTACTAGGTTTTTTGGTTTTGTTTTGTTTTGTTTGTTTATTTGTTTGAGACAGGATCTCACTGTATAGCACTGGCTCTCATAGAACTTGTGATCCTCCTACCTCAGCCTCATGAGTGATGGGATTATAGATGTGTACCACAACACCTGGCTTTCCTTATATTTAAAAAATAATAGAGCAATGTTTGGTTGACAGAGTTGAAAGTCAACCAAAAACTAATAAGTTGAAAGTCACTTCAAAAACTAATAAGAATGTCTGTCATCCTAGCTACTCAGAAGACAGAGCTCAGGAGGACTGAGCTTCCAAGCTAGCCCGGGCAAGTAGTTCGGGAGACCCTATCATGAAAATACCCAGCACACAAAAACAGAGCTGGTGGAATGGCTCAGGAGGTAGAGTGCCTGCCTAGCAAGGGTGAGGCCCTGAGTTCAAAGCTCAGTACCACCAAATAAATAAATAAAACCTGATAAGCATAATGAAATTCACCCGGTGGTTCTTATTGAAAATGTGTGGTAGTTAGCCCATCTCTTTTGTCATGCTCCTCTCAAGTACCCTGTTAAAATCTTCACTTTTGTTAAGGTTAGCAAAAGATAATGGAAAAACAAGGTATTATTTTTCTGCCGGATTTGAAAAAATAGTGGAATTTTCAGAAGGATTTTGTATTGCTAAGTTACTACAAACTTACTGGCTTAAAACAACACATATATTGTTGCACAGCCTCTGCAGGGCTTCAGTCTAGATGTCAGCCAGAGATGGGTTTCATCTGAGATCGGGTGGGGAAGCATTCTCTTCTGAGACTGTGATAGGTGTTCAGGCCGAAGGCCTCCATTTCTTCCTGGTTGTTGGCCAGAAGCTGCCCTCAGATTCTTTTCATGTGGTCCTCTCCACAGGAGCCTGCAGCACGCAGCTTGCTTTTCAAAGCTAGTGGGAGAGTCTCCTGAGCAAGACTGATACTACATTCTTAATGTAACATGACCTCACCTCTTGTTACCCACTATTCAAGGGACAGGAACACCAAGAAGCAAGCATTGTGGGGCCACCTTAGGGTCATTCCTTCTCCTATTCCCATTCATTTTCTTCTTAGACAAATATGAATTAAAGTTACATTGCTGGTTGGCTATTAGTGAGTGATGCTGGACCTTGAGACTCGTTCCTGGACTCTGTCTCTCACTGAGCTGCTTTGTTATGTTTCTTATAAGAACTGTTGTAGAAGAACAATATTATAAATCAGCCTTTTATTTCTATGAGCCCATTTCATACCATATAAGTATAAAAATTGAACTCAGAAATTACTAAATATAAAGAACAAATATTTGCTTTTACAAATAGTGATTAAGGAAAACCAAACAGCATTAGACCTGGGTACTTGTCACATTGAAATCTACTTTCCTACTCTGTTAAACTGACTGAGGTGTTGCGAAACACACATTCAGTAAAGATTACACTGTTAGATTCTCTTGAGAAAAGCATACATCTTTATTTTAAAACTTTTTTGTGTGAAAAAAATCCTACAAATGCAGAAATTTAAAATACAGCATAATGGATTAATGTGAGACCATTTAAGTAAGTGCTACTCACATTGTTAGAGCTCAGGGTTTCTTGAAATCCTTTCCTTGCTCCTTGTCTGAAGTTTATGGCAACCACTTCCTAATCACAGGCGTTCTTATATTGTTCCAAAGACCCTTTTGGCAGAGCTCACTTGCTGTCTATCATGTGAGAATCCAGTATTCCCTTCTGAAGCACATGGTTGCTATACATAGCTCAGTCTCATTGCATCAGATGTGACCAAGTGGCCAGGTTCTGTCAGCAGGGCGTGAGCTTAAGTGGTATGTGCTGTTTCCAGGGTAGGCCTGAAGACAGTGGCCTGCTTCCTCTCTGACCTCCTTCCTTTTATCCGTCGGAAGCTGAATGACTCCTCTCCACTCCTGCACACAGTGTCCTAGAGGATTGTGGGGCAACATGCTGGAAGGACTCTGGGCCCCTGGGTGCTTCCTGAAGCAGCTACACCGCCAACCAAGACCTTCCACCTCAGAAAATGAGAGAAATAAACTTACTTCTTGTTCTTTATGCTATTGTGGTGTTGGCTTTTGTGTGACTGTAGCTTAGGTTTTGTTTTGATTTATGAGTTTACCTCTATCACTTTATGTGATGTTTTATACAGGTGACTAGAATAACAAAGGCATAACATAGCCCCTAAGTACCAGCTTCCTTGGACTACTACCTAGGTACCCACCCTCTTTCTCCTCTCAGGGTACCACTGACCACCCCCTACTCTGCGAAGGACAGAGCCAACTAGGTGCCTGGAGGAAGAGATCACATTCTAGACTTGGAAGGGACCCAGGAGATGGGGATTTTTTTTTTTTTAATTCATATGTGCGTACAATGTTTGGGTCATTTCTCCCCCCTTCCCCCACCCCCTCCCTTCCCCCCCCGCCCCCTTCCTCTCCCTCCCACCCCCTCGCTACCGGACAGAAACTATTTTGCCCTCATCTCTAATTTTGTTGTAGAGAGAGTGTAAGCAATAATAGGAAGGAACAAGGGTTTTTGCTGGTTGAGATAAGGATAGCTATACAGGGAGTTGACTCACATTGATTTCCTGTGCGTGTGTGTTACCTTCTAGGTTAATTCTTTTTGATCTAACCTTTTCTCTAGTTCCTGGTCCCCTTCTCCTATTGTCCTCAGTTGTTTTTAAGGTATCTGCTTTAGTTTCTCTGCGTTGAAGGCAACAAATGCTAGTTAATTTTTTAGGTGTCTTACCTATCCTCACCCCTCCCTTGTGTGCTCTCGCTTTTATCATGTGCTCAAAGTCCAATCCCCTTGTTGTGTTTGCCCTTGATCTAATGTCCACATATGAGGGAGAACATAGGATTTTTGGTCTTTTGGGCCAGGCTAACCTCACTCAGAATGATGTTCTCCAATTCGAGATGGGGATTTTTCATATAAAAATAGCCCCAAAATGTAAGTCTATCTTAACCCCAAAAAGGCTTACAAAAATAAAGCTAAAAATAACCAAAGTTCCCTTGTCTACCCTTGAAGGAGGGGAGAGGACCTGGCACTGGTATAACCTTATGGTGGGCAGCAGCCCAGGCACTGAGCCCAGGCACTGTGAGGACCAATGAGGATGTGATTGACAAGACATGCAATTACAGAACAGAAGCACCAAGCCAAAAGTTAAGAGGCCAAGGGCACAGACCCAACATGGCCCATAGTGGGCTCTACTTAACATCTACAGAGACCTCAGTGGGGTTGTCCATGGCCATGTGGAAACTTTGGTGGCTGGCTATTAGTTCTGGGGGCACAGAGCTCAGGTCTGTGATTGGAGGGCCCCTGTGGGATGTACTGCTGCAGGGACAGTATGGGAGTGGGGGAGATCATGACCACCATCATGGGATTAGTCAGGG